TTTTCATATGGGCACTTATTGCTATATACTTTCCTCTAGAGACTGCTTTAAATGTGTCCCAGAGATTCTGGCATGTTGTGTCTTCGTTCTCGTTGGTTTCGAAGAACTTCTTTATTTCTGCCTTCATTTCGTTGTTTATCCAGTCAACATTCAAGAGCCAGTTGTTCAGTTTCCATGAAGCTGTGGGGTTCTGGGTTGGTTTCTGAATTCTGAGTTCTAACTTGATTGCACTATGGTCTGAGAGGCTGTTTGTTATGATTTCAGTTGTTTTGCATTTGCTGAGCAGTGCTTTACTTCCAATTATGTGGTCAATTTTAGAGTAGGTGTGATGTGGTGCTGAGAATAATGTTTATTCTGTGGATTTGGGGTGGAGCGTTCTGTAGATGTCTATCAGGTTTGCTTGTTCCAGGTCTGAGTTCAAGCCCTGGATATCCTTGTTGATTTTCTGTCTGTTTGATCTGTCTAATATTGACAGTGGGGTGTTAAAGTCTCCCACTATAATTGTGTGGGAGTCTAAGTCTCTTTGTAAGTCTTTAAGAACTTGCCTTATGTATCTGGGTGCTCCTGTGTTGGGACCATATATGTTTAGGATCGTTAGCTCTTCTTGTTGTATCGATCCTTTTACCATTATGTAATGGCCTTCTTTGTCTCTTTTGATCTTTGTTGCTTTAAAGTCTATTTTATCAGAGATGAGAATTGCAACTCCTGCTTTTTTTTGCTCTCCATTTGCTTGGTAAATCTTCCTCCATTCCTTTATTTTGAGCCTTTGTGTATCCTTGCATGTGAGATGGGTTTCCTGGATACAGCACACTGATGGGTTTTGGATTTTTATCCAATTTGCCAGTCTGTGTCTTTTGATTGGTGCATTTAGTCCATTTACATTTAGGGTTAGTATTGTTATGTGTGAATTTGATACTGTCATTTTGATGCTAGCTGGCTGTTTTGCCCATTAGTTGTTGTAGATTCTTCATTATGTTGATGCTCTTTAGCAATTAGTGTGATTTTGGAATGGCTGGTACTGGTTGTTCCTTTCTATGTGTAGTGCCTCTTTTAGGAGCTCTTGTAAAGCAGGCCTGATGGTGACAAAATCTCTGAGTACTTGCTTGTTCACAAAGGATTTTATTTTTCCTTCACTTCTGAAGCTCAGTTTTGCTGGATATGAAATTCTGGGTTGAAAGTTCTTTTCTTTAAGGATGTTGAATATTGGCCCCCACTCTCTTCTGGCTTACAGAGTTTCTGCCGAGAGATCTCCTGTGAGTCTGATGGGCTTCCCTTTGTGGGTGACCCGACCTTTCTCTCTGGCTGCCCTTAGTATTTTCTCCTTTATTTCAACCTTGTTGAATCTGACGATTATGTGCCTTGGGGTTGCTCTTCTTGCGGAATATCTTTGTGGTGTTCTCTGTATTTCCTACAGTTGAGTGTTGGCCTGTCTTGCTAGGTGGGGGAATTTTTCCTGGATAATGTTCTGAAGAGTATTTTCCAGCTTGGATTCATTCTCTTCGTCACATTCTTGTACGCCTATCAACCATAGGTTAGGTCTCTTCACATAGTCCCACATTTCTTGGAGACCTTGTTCATTCCTTTTTGCGCTTTTTTCTCTGATCTTGGTTTCTCATTTTATTTCATTGAGTTGATCTTCGACTTCTGAAATTCTTTCTTCTGCTTGGTCAATTCGGCTATTGAAACTTGTGCATGCTTCATGAAGTTCTCGTATTGTTTTTCATCTCCTTTAATTCATTCATATTCCTCTCTAAGTTATCCATTCTTGTTATCATTTCCTCGAATCTTTTTTCAAGGTTCTTAGTTTCTTTGCATTGATTTGAAACATGTTCTTTTAGCTCACAAAAGTTTCTCATTATCCACCTTCTGAAGTCTAATTCCGTCATTTCGTCACAGTCATTCTCCGTCCAGCTTTGTTCCCTTGCTGGTGAGGAGTTTTGGTTCTTTCTAGGAGGCGAGGTGTTCTGGTTTCGGGTGTTTTCCTCCTTTTTGCGCTGGTTTCTTCCCATCTTTGTGGATTTATCCACCTGTCATCTGTGTAGTTGCTGACTTTTTGGGTCTCTGGGTGGACACCCAGATTGTTGATGATGAGGTATTTCTGTTACTTGGTTTTCCTTCTACCAGTCTAGCCCCTTCGCTGTACGACTGCAGAGGTCCACTCCAGGCCCTGCTTGTCTGGGGTACACCTATAGCAGCTGCGGAACAGTAGGGATGCTACCAGTTTCTTTTTCTGCTATCTTTGTCCCAGAATGATGCCTGCCAAATGTCAGTCTTGTGGATATAGAGGGGTCAGGGAGCTGCTTGAGGAGACAGTCTGTACTTTATAGGAGCTCAAGTGCTGAGCTGTGAGCTCTGATGTTCATTCAGGGCTGTTAGGCTGCTATGTTTAATTCTGCTGCAACAGAACTCATAAAAAAGCCCTTTTTTTTTCAGCTGCTCTTTCTGAAGGGGTTGGGGCTTTATTTTTGACGGGTTGTCCTGCCCAGCTAGGAGGCAGTCTAGTCACTATTTGCCTGCTGAGGCTCCGCCCTGCTGGTGTAAGTTTCACCCTGTTTCTGCAGGCTCTGCCCTTCTGCTGCGGTCTCCGCCCTGCAGCCGCGGGCTCCGCCCTGTGGCGGAGTCTCTGTTGTACCGGGTTGCCTCGGCAACGGCAGGCTGAGTCAGCAATGGGCGTGTACCTCAGTAGGGGCTGATTGCCTCGGTAATGGCAGACGCCCCTCCCGCAGGGAGCTGCGCTTTAAGGGAACCTCCTAACAGCGAGCGTTTGGAATCCCCATTTTGTTTGTCGCACTGCGCTACCCCTAACGCTTTGCCCTGGGCTGGCTCACTGTTCAAGTCCCGTTCAGTCTCAAGTTCAGCCCTCTCAGGTCTCAGGTTGCCAGTTCAACAGGGCACCTGGAACAGTGCGCTTTTGTGCGGAACTCTGTGGAGCGCCTCTGCGCTCGGGCACGGGCCGCAGCCTCACCAGCTGCTGGCTACACCATTCAAGATCTCTGGCTGGCGTCCCATGTTTGTTTTATATCTGGGAATTTCCCCGTTCTGTGGGCAACAAAGGTCCGTCTGGAAATGCGTCCCCGACTCACCCTCTCCGCGCATCCAGCGAGAGCCTCAATCCTGGGTTGTTCTCACAGCACCATCTTGAGTCCTCTGTTCGATAACTGTAAAGATTACCTAAGTTTGTCCTCACTTGATAGATGAGGAAATTGAGGCTCACACAAGAATAGAAAATCAAACACCACATGTTCTCACTCATAGGTGGGTGTTGAACAATGAGAACATATGGACACAGGGAGGGGAGCATCACACACTGGGGTCTGTCAGGGCAAGTAGGGGAGGGACAGGGGGTGGGGAGTTGGGGAGAGATAGCATGAGGAGAAATGCCAGATATAGGTGATGGGGAGGAAGGCAGAAAATCACACTGCCATGTGTGTACCTATGTAACAGTCTTGCATGTTCTTCACATGTACCCCAAAACCTAAAATGCAATAAAAAAAAAAAAAAGAAGTGACTTTCCCAGCTCATAAGTGATAGATCTCGAACTGAAATGCAGGTCTTTCTTTTTTTAAAATTTTCTTTCCTTTCCTTTTTTTTTTTTTTGAGACAGAGTCTTGCTCTGTTGCCTAGGCTGGAGTGCAGTGGTGTGATCTCGGCTCATTGCAACCTCTACCTCCTGGGTGGGTTCAAGCTATTCTCGTGCCTCAGCCTCCCAAGTAGCTGGGATTATGGGCAACTGCTACCACACGTGGCTAATTTTTGTATTTTTAGTAGAGACAGGGTTTCACCATGTTGGCCAGGCTGGTCTTGAACTCCTGACCTCAGGTGAGCCACTGTGCCAGAGGTCTTTCTAATATACACACGTGATTTTATTTGATAATATTTAGCCAAATAAAGGTTTGAATTTGGACAGTTTCTCTTTTTTCTCTGACTTATATTAATCCCCTTTGGTAGTCCTTGTCCCACAGAGGGACCCTTGATTCTACACTAGGTCAGTGTTTTCCCTTTCACCCATGCGCTGTTTCTCTGTACTAACTGGCTAGGAGAGGCTGATCTTTTTGGCACTCCTCAATATTGCCTTTAAACCTCAGGGATTCTATTTAAGGTAATGCAAATATGGTCTTGGTCAAATTGTTTTATTACCCAGACTTCAGTTTTCTCACATGAAAAATGGGGAAGATGATAATGCTGATTCCTCAAGGTTGCTGGAAAAGCAAAGAGATAATGCAGATAAAGCTAGTTTAAGCAGAAATTGGGAGTTTATAATAAAGGGAGTGTTTCATGGAACTAACGGAAGAAATAGAACTAGGAACTAGAACCACAGAGAACCAAGGCAGTTCTTTATCTCTGTTTCTCCAGTGCTTGCCACACATCTGTGTTGTGTTCTCTTTCTGTTCTCTAGCCCACCTTGAAGATGATAGTCACATTTAGCTTTCAGGTTTACATGCTACAAATTTAGCTTCAAAGAGAGCATCTATCCCACTTCCAGATTCCCAGAGAAGGAACTCCAGTTGGCCCAGTGTGAATTAGGCATCCTTCCCTGGATCAATCAACTTTGACCAGGAGGGTGGTATCATGTTGTACAAACAGACTGCCAAGAGCTCACTCACCCTCTTAGATAGTCTGGGGGAATAGGGTGTTAGTCACTTAAGTGGGTACTTTTATGTGACTGCAGGCATGAGAGTCTTTGGGAATGGCAAGGATTGAGTCTGTGATTACTTTGTTGCTGTTCCCTACTTTGTCTTAACTGATCTTTCTGGAGGCCCAGCTGTGACCTGTTGTATCCAGTCTGTACATGCTCTAGCCAGACTTTGTGGGCTGTAGGTACCTTGTATAAGACTTGCTTTTATTGCAGGATGGGGTCAAATAGGCGCAGCTTCCAAGATGACCACCAAGATTAAGAGTAGACTTTAAAGATGCCAGGCGTTAGGTACGACAGTGTTCTTCCTCTGGTTTCCAGGCACCTAGTACTCCAAGTCACAAATACTTCCCTTCTCTCTGCTCAGGGAGATGGTACTGGAGTCGCCAGTATTTACCGGGGGCCATTTGCAGATGAAAATTTTAAACTTAGACACTCAGCTCCAGGCCTGCTTTCTATGGTAAGTGAGGTCCAATCAAGGTTTTGGGTGATAACCAGCTGGTTTCTGGGCCCCTCTTGAGGCCCAGTGCTATCTCTTGGGATAGAAGCAAATGCTTTCCTTCTCTTGCTTGGCCCAGGACTCACCTCTACCACCTCCTTTCTCAGTTTGGTTTGATTGAGAAAACCGTAGGTAAGCTGGGATGGTGGCTCATGCCTATAAGCACAGCACCTTGGGAGGCTGAGGCGGGTTGATAACCTGAGGTCAGGAGTTTGAGACCAGCCTGGCCAATGTGGTGAAACCTTGTCTCTACTAAAAATACAAAAAATTAGCTAGGTGTGGTGGCGTGTGCCTGTAATCGCAGCTACTCAGGAGGCTGAGGCAGGAGAATCACTTGAACCCAGGAGGTGGAGGTTGCAGTGAGCTGAGATGGTGCCATTGCACTCCAGCCTGGGTGACAAGAATGAAACTCCATCTTAAAAAAAAAAGAAGAAAAAAGAAAAGAAAACCAGTAGGTAAGGCCCATTAGCAGGCCAGCAGGCTGGGGAACTAAAATCTGAACTAGGATTTGTGGCTGGGCATTCAGCCCGACTGCTCAGAACGTAACCACTTGTGCTTTTAAGACACACATATTCATAGCTGGGTGTGGTGGCTCACACCTCTAATTTCACCACTTTGGGAGGCCAAGACAAGAGGATTGCTTGAGGTCAGGAGTTTGAGGCCAGTCTGGGCAACATAGTGAGACTTAATCTCTACTAAAAAAAAAAAAAAAAAAAAAAAAAGCCACATGTGATGACATACACCTGTAGTCCCAGCTACTAGGGAGGCTAAGGTGGGAGGATTGCTTGAGCCCAGGATTTTGAGGCTACAGTGAGCCATGTCCTGTTCATCTCTGTATCCTTGGATCCTAGCTTAGGCCCTGGCTCACAGATAGGTGCTAGGTTAGATTTGCTGAAAAAAAAAGCGTAGAGAAATCAGGGTTACAGGCTCTTTGGGGAATCTTGCCCTTCAGCTAACATGGCCAGGGAAACTTAACTGCAGGTATATTTGGTTTCTATCAGGCAAACAGTGGTCCCAGTACAAATGGCTGTCAGTTCTTTATCACCTGCTCTAAGTGCGACTGGTTGGATGGGAAGCATGTGGTGTTTGGTAAGTCCTACTCCTGTCCCATGGTCCCGGCCCCATTCACCTCAGATGGGACCTCCAGAGGAGTTCTCAACTCTTACCAAGAATGCTCAACTCATGTAACTGCTTAGGTGGTAATAGAAAAAACAGAAATGGTAGGGAGGTGGGGAACATGTATGGCTAGAGAACTGGACGTAAGGACAAAAGGGCCATTTGATGTAGTATGGAACCACTTAGGGGGAAAACCCAACTGCTGGCACTAAAGAAATGCCACAGAGGCAACATGATATGGTGAGACTTTGGAGTTACTCAGATGTAAGTCTGAGCCCTAACTCTCTACTTATTACCTATGACCTGGAGCAAGTCATTTCACCTCTACCACATCTCAATTTTCTAAAGTTAGTAAGAGGATCTAATAAGATCATAGCTAAGAATGGGCTCTGGAAGCTGGAAAATGCTATGTAAACAAGAATAAAGTCCAGTTCACACTCTTCCTACAGGAAAAATCATCGATGGACTTCTGGTGATGAGAAAGATTGAGGTAAGTACTGCTTTGATTTTCCTCTTTCTCTGCCATTCTGGTCTGGTACTGTCTGACTAGTATCCAGGAGCTAGAGAAGGGGGAATGAGCTCCAGTTTGTTAGGCCCAGTCTTCATTGTCTCAGGAAAAGGGAAGAGAGGCCGCTTAAGTTAGCTTGTCTGGCCAACACTGAGGTTTGACCTCTGATGACCCTGTTGCCTATTTGATAAAATTCTACTCCTTGGCATTGCATTCAAGGTCCTTCATGATTAGTCCCTGTCTGCCTTTGACCCCTTCTCTTGCCACTGCCTCTTCCTTGTTCCAATCACATCAAGCTACTAGCTCTTCTCTAAATCTGCCATACATATCCCTGCTGCTTGCTCTTTCCTGCCCCTGAGCCTTTGCTCACACTGTTTCCTCTAGCTGGAATGCTCTTTTTTCCTTCCCTCCTGGTGGAATCCCACCCTTCTAGGCACAGTTCAAATACCCCTCTTTTGTGAATCCTTCCCTTACATCTTTAAGCAGCAGTTTAGTTGCCTGTCTACCCCTTATCCAACTCTTTCTTATAACTTTTTGTTATATTGTCATAGATTTGATATTTTCTTTTTTATTTTATTTTTTTAATTGTTTTATAAAGACAGGGTTTCACCATGTTGGTCAGGCTGGTCTTGAACTTCCGACCTCAGGTGATCCACCTGCCTTGGCCTCCAAAGTGCTTGGATTACAGGCATGAGCCACCATGCCCAGCCCTAGATTTGATATTTTCTAAGTGTTTTGCATCTTCTCTTTGATAGGAATTATATGCTTTACCTGTTTGCCAGGACATGGATTGCCTCTGAGTGCTGAGTCCTTAGCACAGGGGCTGGCAGGCATCAGTAAAAGTTTTGTAAGGGAACAAGTGAATGCCTGAGTGGATGAATCTCCATTGTGCTTTTTTTCCTAGAATGTTCCCACAGGCCCCAACAATAAGCCCAAGCTACCTGTGGTGATCTCACAGTGTGGGGAGATGTAGTCCAGACCAACACTGATTCAGGTAAGTGAGTCTTTCTCCTATTAGGTTAGGAGTCAGACTCCTGAGAAGGCAGCATGGTCTAGTGGAGATAAGTTTAGTCTTGAAGACATGAGATTGAGCCCAGTTCCTGTGTGTGTGACCTTGGAGTAGTCACTTTCCTTCTCAGAGCATCTTTCTTCATCTGTCAAATGGGAATTCTGTAATACCTATCTCTCAGAGTCATTGTAAAGATCGAAAGAGAAAGGGTTGTAGGACCACTTTACTTTTCTGCCACTTTGTAATATACAGAGCATCAATCGGAAGACCACTCAGGCAGTTTCTAATAGCACTCTTAGACTACAGTTCCATTCAGTAGTCCCCCTAGAAAGACCTGGCTCCAGACCTGAGTGGGACCAACCTGGGCAGGGACCAACCTGGGCAGGCTGGAGACACACTTGTCATGCCTCTCATCAGAACTGGTACTGCAATTCCAGGCCTTGACTTGATATTTGCCAGCCTTGTAGGTGAATGCCTCACATTGTCCAGCCTATGTGGACTCACTTCTTACCCATATTTGCTACTGCCTGCTCTGCACTGGGCAGCATGCTAGCTGCAGAAAGGGGGACAAAGGAAAGATGTCTCCTTTTAGGAGCTCATGGGAAATAAGACATTCTCCTAGCTGATCACTAGTAATATGAGTGACATTGCCAAGTGTGAGAAGAGTACAAGGGAGAAGTCCATCCCTTCCAGCTGGGTGAGGGCTAATGTTGTTTTGTTGTTTTTTTCTTTTTTTGATTTTCAAGCCTGCAAAAAAGTCAGAAGAATAATACCTGAACACCCATATATCTTCACTTAAATTCACCGTGGTTAACATTCTTGTTTTGTTGTTTTGCCTTGACATTTGTTTTTTTCTTTCTCTTCTTGCCGCCTCACCCATTTCCATTGCCTCTCCTCCTCTCTCCTGCTCCTCTTCCCTTTCTCCATCCTTTCCTTTCTTTCTTCCTTTCTTCCCATCTTCTTTCCTTTTTCCTTTCTTCTTATCTTTCCCATTTGAAAGTTGCAGACTTCTTGACACTTTACCCGTGAGTATTTCAGCAAGGAACTCCTAAAAATAAGAACATCCTACGTAACCACAACATTATATATAGTACATTTTCAAACTTCCCCACTTATCCCAAAAGTAACTTTTGTAGCTTGAGAAAAGGTAATCCAATCAAGGGTCCCATATTTCATTTCGTTTACACAAGTAACATAATACACTCTCATTGTGGAAACTTTCACACCAAACAGATAAAGTGAAAGCCCCTCTTGACAACACCCCACCTCCAACTCCACTCCCCATTCCAGAGGTCACTTTTTTTTTCTTTTTTAACCCTGCAGAAAAACAGAGGTCACTTCTTTATCAGTTTGATGTATGTCCATCAGAGCTTTGCTTGCCCATCTTATTTTGGGAGATTTTCTTTTTCCCAAATGAAATTATACTATATTTTTCATTTTCTAAAAAATTATGTCTTGAAAACTCCTTCTTAATATGTAAAACCACCTTGTATTAAAAAATGAAAATAGCCTGTCACAGTGGCTCACGCCTGTAATCCCAGCACTTTGGGAGGCCAAGGAAGGTGGATAGCTTGAGCTCAGGAGTTGGAGACCATCTCGGGCAACCTGGCGAGACCTCGTCTTTCAAAAAAAAAAATTAGCCACGTCTGGTGGTGCAAGCCTGTAGTCCCAGCTACTCAGGAGGCTGAGGTGAGAAGATTACTTGAGCCCTGGAGTTTGAGGCTGCAGTGAGTTATGATGGCGCCACTATACTCCAGCCTGGGTAACATGGTGAGACCCCATTTCAAAAAAAAAGAAAAATCAAAACTTCAGTGCAGGCTGAGAATCCCTAATCCGAAATCCCAAATGCTCCAAAATCTGAAACTATTTGAGCACTAACATGATATCAAAAGTAGAAAATTCCACACCTGACCTCATGTGATGGGTCATTGTCAAAAATTTGTTTCATGCACAGAAGTATTGAAAATATTTTATAAGATTACCTTATACAATAGCTCTAAGTAGCTAGGACTACAGGTGTGTGCCACCACGCCTGGCTAATTTTTATATTTTTTGATAGAGATAGGGTTTCACCATGTTGGCCAGGCTGGTCTCTAACTCCTGACCTCAAGTGATCTGCCCACCTTGGCCTCCCAAAGTGCTGGGATTATAGGCATGAGCCACTATGCCCAGCTGAATATTAGTTCTTAATTTTATGTGTTGTGATTTTTTTCTTCAGAATACATTTTAAGAAAAAAATTATTATTGTGTTGCATAAGTTTGGTAATTTTAAAAATATATATATGATATTCTTTGTTAAAGAGAAGTTCTAAATTTTGATGAGGTCAAAATTATCAGTCTTTTATTGCTTTTCTGTTTTGTCTCATTTAAGAAGGTCTTTACTACCTCAGATCACAAGGTTTTCCGTATTTTTTCTAGTATTTCTTTTTATATGGTGGAACTAAAATCATTTTTCTAGCATTTTTATAGTTTTATTTGTATATTTACAAAATCATCTAAAATTAATTTTTCTGTATAGTGTTAAGATAAGACTTTTTCTTGTCTTTTTTACAAATGGATATCCAGTTAGATACCTGACCATTTTAATGACCCTACACACATTTGTTTGTGACCAACTCTGTGTTCAGAATATCTGGCACATACAGGCATTTGGTAAAAATTTATTACATGAGTTAAGTAGAGAGGGAGAATGTCAGGCATTTTAGGCAGGGAACTGGTGTGAGCAAATGCTGAGACTGGAATGTACAAGTGTGTGCTGGGAGCTGCATGTGGACCTCTCTTGTTTAGCCTGTTGATCCCTTCTCAGGCCCACTTGACACCCTGAGCTTTGCTTTCTGCCAGTACTGGGTGCCCCTTGGTTCAGCCTGCTCTCCCTCTTCTTTTTTTTTTAAAGATGGGGTTTCACCATGATGGCCAGGCTGGTCTTGAACTCCTGACCGCAGGTGATCCCCCCAACTTCAGCCTCCCAAAGTGCTAAGATTACAGGCGAGAGCCACCGCCCCTGGCTCTGCTCTCTGTCTTCAATGACTGCTGGCCATTCCCTCCCTCTCTTACTCATTTCTTTGCTGTAACCAAAGTTAAGTTCATGGGTCCTTTCTTTTCAAAGATTGACCACTAATCATTACCGCAGGGCAAAAGATAACAAAAAGAATAAAATTTAGAAATTCTTGCCGGGCGCAGGTGGCTCACGCCTATAATCCCAGCACTTAGGGAGGCCAAGGCGGGTGGATCACGAGGTCAAGAGATCGAGACCATCCTGGTCAACAAGGTAAAACCCCGTCTCTACTTAAAATACAAAAATTAGCTGGGCATGGTGGTGCATGCCTGTAATCCCAGCTACTCGGGAGGCTGAGGCAGGAGAATTGCTTGAACCCAGAAAGCGGAAGTTGCGGTGAGCCGAGATTGTGCCATTGCACTCCAGTCTGGGTAACAACAGCGAAACTCCATTTCAAAAAAAAAAAAAAGAAAGAAAGAAATTCTTTACATTGGGGTCTCTTTTCTATATCTTTTTGAGTCTTTTACATAAAGTTACTGGAAGTCCTTGTTGGGGTTTTATTTCTGAAGATGGGGATCACCAACTGTTAGCAAAAGTTATATGAATTTTGCCTCCAAGAAAGCTGTTCGTCTCAGCTTGCAGCGCAACCCAAGCAGAACACATTCTTCAGGTGGCCATTGTACATTCCAAAGGCCCTCTAGACCAAGACTGTCCATGGACTGTGACGATGGAAATGTTCTAGATCTGGGAGGTCCAGTATGGTAGCTACCAGCCCCATGTGAAAACAAAACACTTGAAATGTGGCTGGTTCATCTGAGGGACTAAATTGTTAAATTTTTATTTATTATTTATTTTTATTGATAGAACTAAGCTGTAGTTTATTACATTTAAATTAGTCCAGATATGGTGGCTCACACCTGTAATCCCAGCAGTTTGGGAGGCCGAGGCAGGTGGATCTCTTGAGGTCAGGAGTTTGAGACCGTCTTGCCAACATGGTAAAACCCCCTCTCTACTAAAAATACAAAAATAAGCCAGGCGTGGTGGCACATGCCTGTAGTCCCAGCTACTCCGGAGGCTAAGGTACAAGAATCTCTTGAACCTGGGAGGCAGAAACCTCTGCCTAGATCGTGAGCCGAGATCGTGCCACTGCGCTCTAGCCTGGCTGACAGAGTGAGACCTTGTCTCAAAAATAAATAAGTAAATTTAAAAAATAGTAAATGTAAAGAGCCAGTTGTGACTAGTGCTACTGTACCAGACAGCAAGCTCTAAACTTAGCAACCCAGTCTACTTGTCCTGGCTTGCTCAGAACTGAATCTCGTAGCTAATACTAGGGACCCTATAATTAAAGCAGTTATCTTTCATTGAATTCTTCCTGTGCCCACATGATGAGCTAAGAACTTTACTTGAATTATCACATTTCACTTTACCAAAAATCCCTATCATAGGTTTGAAAGTGTTAGGGAATCTGGGCGGCGGTCTCATGCAAAGGGGTTAGGTCCACAGATGTCTGCCCTGTTTTGGGTTTCTGAATAATGTGATTTGGGAAACATTAATGAAAAGAGGAGATGAATTTCCCAGGGAACAGGGGTCTGGAGGGAAGGAAGGTGGTATTTTTAAGCCCTGTTGGGTAGTATTTCTTTTACTTTAATGTGCATATGGATTTCCAGGAAATTTGTTATAAAATGGTGGTTCTGATTTGGTGGGTTTGGGTGGGGGGTAAGATTCTGCATTTCTAATCAGCTCTCAGGTGATGCTGATGCAGACTTTGAGAGGCAAGGCAATGGGGAGTAAGAGTCTATCTTTTAATTGAGAACTTGCCATATTCCAAAGGAAAAGACCAAGGAAATAATCTCTTGGTGGCACTAGTCTAGCAGGAATCCATTGCATTCATATCAGGTATCACCTAATCCTGCATTTGAGGCCTTGTGTGAAACAGCTAGGAAGGAGACAGAAGATGTCACTTGATCAGTTCTACCTCCCTATGGAGCACTTCTTTCCGGAACCTTTGTGTTTTGCCTTCCTAGGTTCTGACTTTGGTTTTAGTGAAAATGAAGTTTTCTGTACAACTTTTTTTTTTTTGAGAACAAAGTCCCACTCTGTCATCCAGGTTGGAGTGCAGTGGCACAGTCTCAGCTCACTGCAACCTCCACCTCCCTGGTTCAAGTGATTCTCATGCCTCAGCCTCCCAAATAGCTGGGATCAGAGGCATGCACCACCATGCCTGGCTAATTTTTTGTATTTTTAGTAGAGACAAGGGTTTCACTATGTTGGCCAGGCTGATCTCGAAGTCCTGACCTCAAGTGATCTGCCTGCCTTGACCTCCCAAAGTACTGGGGTTACAAGCGTGAGCCACCATGCTTGGTCTGTACAATTTTAGATATAGAAACCTTGGTTTTATCTCAGTGGGTTCTGGGAGTTTTTTGGTTTTGCTTTTGTGTTTTTGTTATTTGTTTTGAGACGGAGTTTCACTCTTGTTACCCGGGCTGGGGTGCAATGGCGCAATCTCGGCTCACCGCAACCTCAGCCTCCTGGGTTCAGGCAGTTCTCCTGCCTCGGCCTCTGGAGTAGCTGGGACTACAGGCGCGCGCCACCATGCCCAGCTAATTTTTTGTATTTTTAGTAGAGACGGGGTTTCACCATATTGACCAGGATGGTCTTGATCTTTTGACCTTGTGATCCACCGCCCTCGGCCTCCCAAAGTGCTGGGATTATAGGCGTGAGCCACCACACCTGGCCGGTGTTTTTGTTTTTTCAACAGGGTCTTACTCTGTCACCAAGGCTGGATTGCAGTGGCATAGTCACAGCTTCCTCAGTGAATCCTCCCACCTCAGCCTCCTTAGATGCTGGGATTATAGGTGTGCCCTACCACACCCACCTAACTTTTTAAAGGTGAGCTCTCTGCTGGGCGAGGTGGCTCACACCTGTAATCCCAGCACTTTGGGAGGCTGAGGCAGGCAGATCACAAGGTCAGGAGATCAAGACCAGCCTGGCCAACATGGTGAAACCCCCTCTCTACTAAAAAAAATACAAAAATTAGCTGGGCGTTGTGGCACGCTTCTGTAGTCCCAACGACTTGGGAGGCTGAGGCAAGAGAATTGCTTGAACCTGGGAGGCAGAGGTTGCAGTGAACCAAGATCATGCCACTGCACTCCAGGCTGGCAACAGAATGAGACTCCATCTCAAAAAATAATTTTAAAAATTTAAAAATTAAAGAAAAAAGGTGGGGTCTTGCCATGTTGTCCAGACTGGTCTCAAACTCCTGGCCTCAAGCCATCTTCCTACCTCAGCCTCCCAAAGTGTTGGAATTACAAGCATGAACCATTGTACCCAGCTCTGTGAAAACTTTTTATGATGAATTTGGTTATGTATAGCATAAAGAACCTCTACCCTCAGGATTCTCCTGCTGTAGCCTGAATGGGTTCTTTGCTACTTACATGGGAGAGGGTGGCACCTCTGAATTCTGGCAACTCTGCTAGTCTGGTATGCTGCCCCACTCCCTGTGATCCCCAAACCTGGTACCAATATCAAGTGGTAGAGAGCTTTCCTTAATTCATTGTTGCCTAAATTCTCCAACAGATAATATTCATTTGGGGGCACTAGTTAAACCTTCGAATTCCCAAATCCCTTCCCTGGAGTGTTTGATGGAGTGGCTTTGAGGTGAGACCCAGGTTGTTATGTTTGTAACAAGTATCTCAGGTGCTTCTTAATAGAGAAGTGTCGGAAACAGTTTAGTTAGTGCTGGGATGACTTTTATTTTAATATTTGGATCTTAGAAAAAAATATGTAATTGGCACAATACATAATTTTTGTTATTACAGCTTACAGTGAGGTAATATTGAAGTTCATATAGTGATTAGCTTAAAAAAGAAATTGTACCTGTGGATGATAGATACTGTAACAGTTGTGAAAGTGCTAATTGAATGACTGAGGTTTAGGAAACACTGTCTTTCATTCTGGAATTACCTGTAGATGTGAAACATTCCCATAGGGGAAGATTAGGAAGGATGTGTTGGTGGCAGTTGGGCTGGTCCTCTATTCATTCCACAACCAAGCCCTGATGAATTAAGATAGATCCCATGCTGCATATGAGGCTACAGATTTGAAAAGCCGAGTTCCTTCCTTCAAGGAACTCAGTCTCTTGGGAGAACTGACAATTATATTACAATAAAGCACTGTATTGGAGGTTTTAGAACAAGGTAAGGAAAGCAGAAATGCCTTGATCTTCCTGGGGTGGTTGAGAAGACTACAGAAGAGATGATGCTTCAGTTTAGTACAAGGAAGAATATAATTTGTCAGTGGCTAAAACTGGAGAGGACATTCCAGGCAGAGGGAACAGCCTATGCAAAGTCACAAAGGCGGGAAACAGTAGGAAGTATAGAGGAAGCTGCAAATAATCAATTTGACTGAAGCAGGAAGATATGAAAAGCAAATGGTAAGAATGTTGGAGAGAGGCCAGGGCCAGTACTAAGCTTAGCGATTCATATGTTATCCTGAGGCCAGGGGCTGACTTTCAGACATGAAGTATTTTTTCCCCTCTGGGGAAGGAGTGCATTATGCTCCTCTGAGATTCTCAAAAGGGACACTGATCCTCCAAAAAAGAATCAGGCCAGTCGGAGCCACTGAAGGATTTTCAGCAGAATATTGTAGTTGAATTTTCATGTTCAGAAGGTGATTGTGGCAGCATTGTGGAGGATGGGCTTGAGGCCAGGGGGAGTCCCCTGCAGTAGTAGTCCAGGCAAGAGAAAAGGTTTCACGTGAAAACGTGCGTCTGGGGAGCACTGGAGGTTTGGCAGCAAATATTTACGTGCCTGCTGGGCATGTGACACTGTTCTCTGTCCTGACACTCAGAAGCTCTGCCAGCTGAAAAGGCCAGGGAGGAGAGAATGTTTGGCTCCAGTCCAGTCCAGTCCAAAGGCAGAGCTGCTTGCATTGCAGCCAAGTCTTACACACACAGAGGTTCCATTCTCTTCAGTGGAATACTATACAGCCTTAACAAAAAGAAAGATAGATCTGGATGTGTTGGCAAGATTTCTAAGGTCAATTAAGTGACAATCAAGATGTAGTAATTCATGCAAGCGTGATACTGTTTATTCTGAATGACTTCCAGGAATCTCTGCAGTGATATATAGCAGACTGTTGATAATACTTCTGCAGAGTAGAGATAGCAGAGAGACTTTTCAGTTGCCTTATTTATGCTTGAATTTTCTACATTGAACATGTGTCTTATAACAGAAATACATCCTGTTTATATGTAGTTTTAACTAATCCTGAATCCTCCCAGCACCTCCCAGGAGCCTGGCCACAGCTGTGGCTAACGTCAGTTGTGAATCCATCCCTGATCCCTCCATCTCCTCTTCCAGGTCTAATCCAGTCAGTGGCTCCCACCTGGGTGCTCCCTTGGTTCATCTCTCCATTGGGGCATTGAACACACTGTCTCACAAATGTGTTGGTCTGTTTTTCCCTGGACTGAGAACTTCTTGAAGCAAGGACCATGCTGACTAATGTAGTGCCTGGCCTGACACAGCTTAGGTCCTGGCACACTATGCAACTTACAAAGTACATTTGTACATTTCATACCTTTCTTGGGGGCCCACAGTTAACCTTCAGTCTGTGCCTGCAGTACAATGCCAGTACTCATTGTCCGCTGAAGGAAGGGGTGGCTGTGTTTGAGGAATGGCAGGAGGAGGGGGACAATAGTATCTGAGTGTACTCACTCTGCTCTCTTAGTGTAGCTTGCTCGACTTCAAGGCCATAAACCAAGAGTGTGGACTGCCCTTTCTTTCTACCCTGGGACCAAAACCTGCAAGGAAGAAGGATTGCTCTTTGTTCTGGACATCCACAGAGAGCTGTCAGAGTCTGACAGAAAGGACAAAGGCTTTGGAGCCAAGTAGACCAGGAAGCCCCACCACTGTCTAATTCTGTGACTTTAGTCAAGCTATTAAACCCCTTGGCACCCTACTTCACTCCTTTGCATAATTAGATAATATATTATGCACAGAGTTGTGAAGGGCAAATAAATGAGACAGTATGCTTGACCATAAATGTTACTTTACTTCTTCTTGGTTCTTTTGTAATATACTGCTCAACTTTGCTCTGGGGAGCCAAAGGTCTGACCCATGGTGAGAATAAGACCTGTTCTACCCTTTTGGGAAAAGACGATTAGGATAGTAGAGAATAGCTGGGAGTGGCCAGGTGTGGTGGCTCATCCCTGTAATCCCAGCACTTTGGGAAGCTGAGGCGGGTGGATCACAAGGTCAGGAGTTTGAGACCAGCCTGGCCAATATGGTGAAACTCCATCTCTACTAAAAATACAAAAATTGGCTCGGGGTGGTGGTCGGCACCTGTAGTCCCCAGCTACTCAGAAGGCTGAGGCAGGAAAATCGCTTGAACCTGGGAGTTTGAGGTTGCAGTGAGCCAAGATCACACTACTGCACCCCAGCCTGGGCAAGAGCCAGACTCCATCTCAAAAAAAAAAAGAATAGCTAGGAGCATTGTCTCTTATGGGATGTCCCCTTCCAGTTCCTCTGAGGTGCTTACCTTCCCATCCCACACTGACCTCCATGTCTCTGCCATTGTAGGCCTTCCCTTGCTCTTGGTGTTCTTGAGTAAGATAATCTGGACTGGCTCTCGTGTTTGCTTCCCTGCCTGCTGCTGCCCCATTTGATCAAGAGACCCTGGAAGTATCAGAGATTCAGAATCCAAGATTGTCTTCAAGTGTTCATCTGTAAATAAAGTTTTTTTTTATGTGTATGTTTTTTGGTTTTTGGGGGTTTTTTTTTGTTTTGTTTGTGTGTTATTTTTAAATGGTTGTAATAGCCCTGTCTCCTCACACCTCAACTTTAGCTAGGAGACTGGCACTCCTCAGAGGCCAGCATGGACCAGAGCCCTTCTGTTGTGTATTGTTGATGATTCTGACTTGCAAGCAGTTGTAGTAACTCTCTTGGGTTAAAGCTGATGGGCAAAGAAGCCAAAGCCCCAGAACTTTACAGTACTACTTGTTCCGAGGATGTTCCCGATAGGTTCAATTTGGCTAGTTCTGGATGGAGCCCCGCAGGGAAAGGGTCACTAACTTGACCTATCTACCTACCTCAGAACATCCTTGAAAGAGTCAAATAAGAGAGTGGATCTGAAGGTAATTTGTAATAAACAGTAACATGCCTTAGAAAATGTTAGTTTTGGGACTGGGTAGAGTGGTTCACACCTGTAATCCCAGCACTTTGGGAGGCTGAAATGGGTGGATCACTTAAGGCCAGGAGTTTAAGACCCACCTGGCCAAGATGGTGAAATCCCATCTCTACTAAAAATTCAAAAATTAGCTGGGCCTGGGGCATGTGCCTGTAATCCCAGCTACTCTGGTGGCTTGAGGCACAAGAATTGCTTGAACCTGGTGGAGGAAGGTTGCAGTGAGCTGAGATTGTGCCACAGCACTCCAGCCTGGGTGACAGAGTGAGACCCCCATCTTTTTTGAAGAGGCTAAGAAGAAAGTTCCCTGATGTTTCTTTCATGAGGCACTTTCTGGGTGCCCTTTCTTATTTGCCTTCTCCTGTCTTGTGGATGTGGATGCCTCATAACTACCAGCAGCAGGATACTGCAGGAGCAAAGGTAGCAAACAGCTGAATTCTATGACCACAGAACTTACCTAAAAGTGTTGTTTCAGTGTATCAGATGGCAACTCTAGCCAAGTAAACATACTTCAGAGGACATTGTAGAGAAAGGACTGTCATCAAGAGGAGAGATTTTTAAGTAACTAGGGTGGGATTGTAAAGAGATGGGAAGGAGAATGAACAGCTGTGTTCTGGAGCTGACATTCTTGTGATGGGCTGTTCAGCTGAACTCTGTTACACCTGGCACCTGTATTCTATGCCAGTCTCTGTCCTTAGGCCCTGGAGCTGAGTAAGATGTGGCTCATACTTGTGAGAGGCGACAGGACAGTTTCGATGCAAGGTGGTATTAGAATGTGAGCCCTTACAATACATTTGGTCTGTTTTGTTTGTTTTTTAATATAACTGCTGTTGTCCCCAACTCCTGGAAGAGATGAGCTTCTGGTGTGTAGTAGACACTGAATAAATATTTGTTGCATGAATGATAGTGGTATGAGAGGAAGAGGGAAAAAAAGTCTTCTCGGAAGAGGTGACACTTGAGGTAAGTATTGACAGGCTGGAATTCGCCAGCTCAACATGGTGGTGAGGACTTTCTGGGAAGAGGGAATTCTGTTCTTAGGCCACAGTCTGTTAGGGATGGGGGGACAAGGTAAAAGTTGTTTTGCAGAGAAGATACTCGAGATGAATCCCTTGCCCATCACATCACTTAAAGGCAGGCACTGGAATTGTCTGTACGGTAGCCACCAGGGATGGCTGGGGGGGTGTGAGCTCCCAGGATGGCAGGGGGACTAGCAGAGCTCTGGAGTGGCCCTCTCCCACTTTGGAACAGGAGATGAAACTTGTCATGAACTGTTGGTGCTGCTTGTAGAGAGGTGGCTACAAGAAAATTATTTTTATTTTTTGAGATGCAGTTTCACTGTGTCACCCAGGCTGGAGTGCAGTGGCACAATCTCAGCTCACTGCAACCTCTGCCTCCCAGGTTCAGGTGACTCTCCCACCTCAGCCTCCCAAGTAGCTGGGATTACAGGCACACGCCACTATATCCAGCTAATATTTGTACTTTTAGTAGAGATGGGGTTTTGCCATGTTGGCTGATCTGGTGAACCCCTGACCTCAAGTGATCTGCCTGCCTCTGCCTCTGCCTCCCAAAGTGCTGAGGCGTGAGCCACCGTGCCTGGCTGCAAACTAGTTTCTTAAACAGCTCATTCTCAAGCTGACTGAGCAAGAAGAGAGAGCTGAATGAAGTAATTGGATGAGTAAGTAATGATACTTTTTTTTTTTTGACAGAATTTCGCTCTTGTTACCCAGGCTGGAGTGCAATGGTGCAATCTCGGCTCACCGCAACCTCCGCCTCCTGGGTTCAGGCAATTCTCCAGCCTCAGCCTCCTGAGTAGCTGGGATTACAGGCACGCGCCACCGTGCCCAGCTAATTTTTTGTATTTTTAGTAGAGACAGGGTTTCACCATGTTGACCAGGATGGTCTTGATCTCTTGACCTCATGATTCACCCGCCTTGGCCTCCCAAAGTGCTAGGATTACAGGCTTGAGCCACCGCGCCCGGCATTACTTTTTAAAGTAAAATAGAAAAGACAGATGTTACACAATTTGTATTTTTGCTTGAGAAGCCATCCCTTCAAAGCAGTTACATAGTGAGGTTGCTCACTTATTCTTAGGGGTGCTGCTGCAATGTTTACTAAGTGTCTTTGTAACTGGAGCAAAGCTTTCAAGCCTATAGGACATGCTTTTAAATGGCTCAGTGTTGGCAGAACTGCCTTTTGAGGAAAGATTTTAACATTCAAAGTCATCCGAGCTGGAATACATGAGTAGCAGCTGTGGAATCCATCCACTCTCCATACACATTGCTGCTGCTGAAAGCCTTTTTCACCTGGATTACTGGCACAGCTGCCTAGATGACCTTTCTGCTGCCAGTACCCTTTTCAATTCATTTTCTACACCATGTCACTCATTTAACAAATGTTTGAAGGTATTATGTGTCAGGCAGTAAGTTAGATGCCCAAGGAAGTCACAGTTTGGTGGGAAAGATTTAATTAGAGCAATACAGCATGTTAGGATGGGAAGGATTCTTAACCTAGTAGCATCTGAGCCAAGACCTAGAGGATGACGAATTAATCAGGCAAACAGAAAGGAGAAAGGGCAAAGTGTTTTATGTAGAATCGTATGTGGTACTCCAAAGGAAACAGTGCCTAAAGGACTCCACTAGATGACAGTCCTTTCTCTACAATGTCCTCTGAAGCATGTTTACTTGGCTAGAGAGTTGCAAGTGTCTATACTGTAGGGACCTTGTAGTATTTCACCATCTCCCTTGTCATCTGATAAGTGGAAGCAGCACTTTTAACCAAGTTCTATTGTCATAGAATTCAGCTGCTTGCTCCTCTGCTCCTGCAGTATCTTGCAGCCGTTAGTTACCAGGACCTGCAAGGTTGGACAGAGAATGCAAAAGAGACTCTAAGACTTCTTCGAAGTCAGAGAGTCCAGTAAACCACATTAAGGAATCTGGACTACCCTAAGGGTAATGGCAGTCACTGGAAGATTTTAAGTAAGACAATGCCATGATCAGATAGATGTTCTCAAAAGAACTTTCTGGCTGTTGTGGTGGGGAATATTAGAATAAGAAGGAGGTAGAGAGGTGTGGTTAGGAGCCCACAGCACTGCTCTATGCTAGGGGTCAGCCGGCTGCATTCCGTTTTTCTGTGGCTCATGAGCTAAGAATACGAATGGTTTTTAAAATGTTTAAATAGTTGAAAATATGTAAAGATTCGTGTCATGTAAACATTAGGGCTGTTTTCAAGCTCCAAACCTGAGTAGTAAGTCAGAAGCTTAATATGGTCGGCCAAGCTTAAATTATTAACTATTTGCTCTCACAGAAAACGGTTTCCCTACTCCTTGCTCTAAGCAACTGATGATGACCTTGAGTAGTGGCAGTAGGAATGAAAAGACTCTGAACTGACATTTACAGAGTTTAGGACTGACTCAGGACGGCCTTTAGGAGGTGGAATTGACAGGCCTAGGCGGCATTGGTAGGGGTAAGGGATACTGCACTAGCCTCCTAACTGCTTTCTCTACTTCCATTCCTTGCCCCTTTGCAACCCATTCTCCACTCAGCAGTCATTTTTAAAAAGATGCCCCTCCCTACTTATGACTCTAAAATTGCTCTTCTCACTCTTGCCCTTAGGATATATTTCCAATTAAATATACCTGTGACCCTGCCCACCTCTGCAACCCAATGCCACACTGGAGTCTTATTGAACTACTTGACTTGCATTTCCCGAGATCCCACCTCTTCTCGCCTGTACCCTGTGAGCGGAAAGTCAGCCCTCCACCTTCTCCCTGCTTCCACTCCCAAAATACTTCGTGCTTTTAATTTAATTTTATTTTTTTAAAGACGGGGTTTCACCATGTTGGTCAGGCTAGTTTTGAACTCCCGACCTCAGGTGATCCGCCCGCCTTGGCCTCCAAAGTGCTTGGATTACAGGCGTGAACCCACGCCCGGCCCAATATTTCGTGCTTTTGCAGCTCTCGAGTATTTCCAGTGCTAGCTGTTTAAATTCCTGCCGCCATCAGAAGGCAGAAACTGACTCGAGAACTATTCCATCCCCAGCCGATAGTAGACGCTTAAAAAAGAACGAAAGACGGTGGGTGGAGGACTTCAGTAACATCAGGTGGCAGCCTCAATTTTATCGTTTGTGAAACGTGGATAGTAATCCTTCTATCACATGGCTGTTGTCGGAATAAAATGGAAAAACCAAACAGGCTAGCTTGTTCAATAAATGTGAGTTGAATTAAATCTGATTTGTGGCCAGTAGAAAAAGACATGAACACTCGAAGACACTTCTTTTTAATACATGTGTATGCCTGGTAAAACGGATCAGAAGGCAGGTCCCCATGGAGCACACCCTCGCCTTAAACATGCTAAACGTGCTGAGCCCAGGCTGTCTGAGCCTGCGTGGTCCCTCCAAGGTGACTGCTCCGACAAAAGCGTAAGCTCCTCAAACGCATACGTTTAAGGCAATTCCAGAAACCATAGGCTGTGCCGCCACAACACGGCCATTAAAGAAAAGATGACTTTATGCCTGCAGTCATGTTCTCAGATCACAAGGACTGTATTTGGAGCAGAGAGGGAGGGAAGCCTTCTCTTTACGAAGGGCTAATGCGTAGTCGGGCCCCCCTCCAATCTCGGGTCCGGCCGGGTAATTCCTGCCCAGCATTCGGGCGTGCCTTTTCTTCAGCTGGGACACAACCCTGAACGTGGGGCTAGCCAGCCCGGCGGCTGCCTCGTGGAAATCACGTTCTCTCTGCCCGTCCTCTCGGGTACTCTATGGTTTTTGTGGCCGACTACTCTAATTCTAGTTCCGGTCTCTATGGCGGCCGGCGGAGGCAGGAACGGTTGTAGGTCGGCTGAATTAGCCGCCAAAGGGCCAATGAGAGTGGAGAACTGATAAAATATTATCCAGTAGAAGCCAGGAATTGGGGTCAGGTGGGCAGATTGACAGCAGCAGTGGCCAGTGAACAACGCCTAGGGCGGGTCGATCGTAGGGCTTATCCCGCCTGTCCCGCCATTCTCGCTAGTTCGATCGGTAGCGGGAGCGGAGAGCGGACCCCAGAGAGCCCTGAGCAGCCCCACCGCCGCCGCCGGCCTAGTTACCATCACATCCCGGGAGGAGCCGTAGCTGCCGTAGCCGGCCCCAGTCACCATCACCGCAACCATGAGCAGCGAGGCCGAGACCCAGCAGCCGCCCGCCGCCCCCCCCGCCGCCCCCGCCCTCAGCGCCGCCGACACCAAGCCCGGCACTACGGGCAGCGGCGCAGGGAGCGGTGGCCCGGGCGGCCTCACATCGGCGGCGCCTGCCGGCGGGGACAAGAAGGTCATCGGTGAGGGCCGGACGGGGACGGGTGTGGGGCCCTCGGGCAGCCTGGCAGCGGAACCGTTAGCCTGTGCAGGGCGAGCCGGCGGGCGCGCGGCCGGCGGGGACCGACTCCGCGGCGCGCGGCCGCCCCTCCCCCAGCACCCCCACTCATCCTCACGGGGGCCCGCCCGGCAGGCGCGCGCGCTCTGCCTCCTGCGCCCCCTGTGGACCCCGCGCGGACGCGCGCCCCTCCCCCTGCGGTCGCGCGCCCGCCAACCGCGTGTGCGACGGGGTCCCCTCCCCGCGACCGGCCTCGTGCGCTGTGGCCCGCACGCCGTTGTTCGCGTCTCCCCCACCCAGCTCCCTTCCGCGTGTGCTCAGAGGGCGCGGCGCACCGCCTACGCAGGCCGGAGTGGGCCGGGGCGGCTTCCCCTTCCCTCACGTGCTCTCCGCCCGCGGCCTGCGCACACACCCATTCTGGGCCCGCGCCCCGGGCCTGCCCTGGAGCGCCCCGCGGCTTCAGACTCACCCACGTGTGCGGCGGCGGCGGTGGTGGCGTGGCCCGGCACCCGGGAGGTGGAGAGAAAGGGCTGTCAGGTGGCCTAGCGGGCAGCGTCCTAGGGACCGGAGACCGAAGCCGGGCGGGTTTGGAAAAGGATAGGTGGTAATCGTGGCTTGTTTTGCTTTGTTTTCTTTTCCAGCAACGAAGGTTTTGGGAACAGTAAAATGGTTCAATGTAAGGAACGGATATGGTTTCATCAACAGGTGAGCTCCCGGACCCTGAAGCTTCCATCCCACTGTCTCGCTTGTTGCCTGCTCTGTCGGCTTCTTGGCGCTTGGGAAGCCCCGAAGGGCGTTTACTACCTCTGGTGTATTAGTGTGATTTTTTTTTTTTTTTTTTAATTCCTTGACGACTGGAGGGATTAGTGGATCTAGAGAAGGTCTTTGTTTTGCAGCTAAATGTTAATTTGAAGCCAACTTCAAAGGCTTTCTTACAGTACAAAGCAATTTAAAAGGCAAGCAAAGTGAATGAGCCATGCCTTAACAGGGTAAACGGGAAACTACGGTCCTGTACATTTTTATCCTTGTTATCCTTTTCTACTTGATTGAACTCGGTGTTTGAGAGAGTGATCCACTGACATCGGATATTTACACCTTGTTAACATTTTGGGGGTAAGATTTGACGTGCCAAGTATATGAGGTTTTGTCATCTTTACCGAGAGGTGTTGCCTTTTTCACCTTCATTGTAATACCTTAGATAAATTTTATATTAGCACCAGAGAGAAGCTGTTTTTATTTGCTCATAGAATAATGTATCTGCAAGAAAATGGTTCTTTGCTTTCTTCAGTTCTTATTTTTCATTCTTCCTTGTCCTAAAATCATACTGATTAAATCGATTTCTATTAGATTTCTGGCTATAGCTTAGAGTGGCCATAGTCCCTGGTAACTTGACATTGTTCTTGCTTGAAGGCAAAGCTGCAGGCTCCATCTTTAGGACTTACTTTCGGGTTGTTGCTGGTAATGTGCAGTACACTGGATTCCATGGGCTCCCTTGTGAGCCAGGCATCATTTTCAAGATGGCTGCCAAGGCTTAGTAGTGCAGTTTACATGAGTGTAGAGCCCTGGGTATGCCAATAGGAATCTTGGCCTTATAGGTATGGTACATAGTGCCATCTCAGCATTCTCTTACTGTAGAAGACCTAAGCAGATGATTAAAAGAACAATTAAGAATGTTTGTGGAGTGGACAACAAATGGACGAAATCAAGCTTAAGGACAGACAATCATAGCTTGATGAAAAACCGTTCGTTCATTAATCAATCATACATTATCGTGGAAACAGAGTAAGAGAGAAGCATTTGATGGTCTATTCTCTACTTTTGCAATTGTGGGAAAACGTTTTGTTTCTTCCAAAATCTTAGGATTTTCCAACCTTCTATACTGTTGCCACTGTTGTGGCTGTAACTATGTTTTTCATTAATTTTTTGATAATAGCTTATTAGCAAGGAAGGAGGGGAATGCTTATATATGATTGATATACTGATAGCTTTTTAACTGATCTTTCTGAACTTACTAGTGTTTTAGTTTGTGTTTCTGTCTTATTCTGAGTCTCCGAACTAGTCTAACCCTTCAACCAGTGTTTTTCAGATTTAAGTGTGCTTGCCTAGGTCTGGGTACATTTTTTAGCAAGAATAATGTGAGCCATACCTTCAAAATCACTGCTTTTAACCCTTGACCCAATGTAATGGTAACTTTGGTGTGCAGATTTGCAGCCTTTTCAGTGGGTAGATTGCAGTTTTGTATGTATGAAGTTTAGCGTGTGCCATGTTTCGCTACATTTTGTTGAGTGGCATAGGTTATCACATTTTTAAAAATCAAGTTTTATCCAAAATAAGAGTAATTCTTACAAGTATTTCATGAGGTGTCATTCATTGAATATCTCTGTTCTGAATTGGAATCAACTCAATTGGTCATCCTCCAGGGCAAATTGTGAATTGGCTTTTGATGGTCTTTTGTTTGGACTATCCTAACCTCAATTATTTTGTCAAATTGACTGGTTAAAATGTTCTTTATGCTTCTGAACTGGTTGTTTTAATGACTGACACTTTTTGATAAGATGCTGTAAAATCTGACTCCAATTAAATACAGGGAAGGTTTGCTTTAATTAAGGAAAGTATGTGTTAAATCAGTTTGGAAGCCAGCAGTTGGTTCTATATGTGGTTCATGTAGTAGAACAAATAGACTTGGCTGGAGGCACCTGGTTCTTAAGAGGGAAGGAGACAGACTGACACATTACGTGTGCTGTTTTCTATATAAAGGAGAGGGTGCAGTGTTTGGGATGACTAGTGTGACAACTTTTAATTGCAATTTTTGGATGCGCTGGATTATATATTCTAGGATTGTAAGATTTTGTTATTGCCCGGGCTGGAGTGCAGTGGTGCGGCTCACCACAGCCCCCACCTCCTGGGTTCCAGTCATTCTCCTGCCTCCGCCTCTCAAGTAGCTGGGATGACAGGTGTGAGCCACCACACCCATCCACGATATTTTCAGTTATTTTATGTAAATTTTTTTTGCCTTTAAAGACAGATAATTTCGTTGTAAATTTATTCCAGCCTGAATTACCACCTCTGAATTGTTACAACCTTCTTAGAATTGATTCATTAAAGGGCTTCTCCCTGTTGATTATATTGTGAATAAGGTGCTAAATAACATGAGCATAGAGCTTTTTAAAATAGCGGAAGTTTTGGCTTTATTTTGTTAGACTATGTGATGTAGAAATTCTGAGAAATTCATTGAGTTACTCCTTTGTGAGCTGTGTCTACAAGAGATAATTGGAGAATGTGACTAGAGGGGTTTATTAGGCCCCCCCCCCCCGAAATTACTGTCAAATTTTATTAGTGGTTGAGGATTGACCCATATTCACCAAAGATTACCATAATTGGTAAGTTTATAGTGACTAGAATAGGAATATTTTTGTTCTAGAGTATTCAAAATGTTTAATATTTAGAGCAAAGGTTACAAATTTGTGACTTACTGGCTAAAACTACTCCCAGATGCTTTGATTGGACAGTACAGTGTTGTTAAAAGGAATTGGAATTAATTACTAACATGATAATTCAGGCGGTAACACCAAATAATGCAGATTATTATGTTTTTAAGATCTGAACTTTCGCTAGCTTTAGGGACATGTATTTCCACATAAATAAAAACCACCTGGCAGTATTTTCACCACATTTAGGTGGGGTATGCGTTTTTTACAATGGCCTTAGTTGTCTTAGTTGTCTTAGGTTGCTGACTTCCCTTCACACCTGGCCTTTGGGTATGCATTTGAGTTTATCACACATAAACCAAGCCAGGGAAAGGTTTAGCTATCTCAATTCAGTCATGCCCATCAGGTTTAGTATCCCATTGGGGTGGGGGCTCCCTTGTGGGGATTCCATGTGTATATAATAGGTGACTTCTTTAAAACGTTGGTGAAAATACATGTAGCTAACAAGTATTTCTACTAGGGTCTATTTTAAATGCTTAAGATGAGCCAAGTCACTTCATCTTTAAAAACCTTTGATATAGGCCGGGCTTGGTGGACCATACCTGTAATCTCAGCACTTTGGGAGGCCAAGGCCGGCGGATCACGAGGTCAAGAGATCGAGACTATCCTGGCCAACATGGTGAAACCCCCGTCTCTACTGAAAATACAAAAATTAGGCCGGGCACGGTGGCTCAAGCCTGTAATCCCAGCGCTTTGGGAGGCCGAGGCAGGTGGATCACGAGGTCAAGAGATCAAGACCATCCTGGTCAACATGGTGAAACCCCGTCTCTACTAAAAATACAAAAAATTAGCTGGGCATGGTGGCTCGTGCCTGTAGTCCCAGCTACTCAGGAGGCTGAGGCAGGAGAATTGCCTGAACCCAGGAGGCGGAGGTTGCAGTGAGCTGAGATGGTGCCATTGCCACCTAGGTACCAAGAGTGAAACTCCATCTCAAAAAAAAATACAAAAATGTGGCTGGTGCGGTGGCGCACGCCTGTAATCCCACCTACTTGTGAGGCTGAGGCAGGAGAATTGCTTCGACCAGGGAGACAGAAGTTGCAGTGAGTGGAGATCCTGCCACCAGCCAGCCAACAGAGCAAGACTCTGTCTCAAAAAAAAAAAAAAAAAAAAAAAAAAAACTTTGAGGTGTAGGTACTGTCACTCTGTGAGGCACAAAGAATTTACTTGCCCCACCCCCAGCCCGTAAGCATAGCTGATAAGTGGCAGTCAGGATTGGATCTCCGTTTTCTGACTCTGGAGTTAGTGTTCACCAACTGCGCTGTTAACACTATCTCTGAAGTAGACCCTAGCCATTTTCAATTTGATTGTTCACATAGTTACAGATAATTTCTTAGGGTGATTATTTTTAGAGCCATTGAAAGACTCTTAAGTGATCAAAGTATGTCACTGGGGCTCTGGTGTGTTAGCTAACTCCTGGCTCCCCAGATTTGAAAAGCTTTTGGCCTTTCACTATCTACTTTGTGAAGTTTAGGATTGTGAAAAGTTCTGGTTTAGCATGTAGGTCAGCTTTACAAATAAAAAGACTTGTCTAATTACTAATATTGGGAGGCAAAGAATTAAAGGAGAGAACATTACACCTTATCTCACTGAATCTTTTTTTAAATATGGTGTGCAAGGTAAGAATAACTGCTGCCTTTTTTCTTTTTGTCTTTTTTTTGAGATGGAGTCTCACTGTAGCCCAGGCTGGTCTCAAACTCCTGACCTTGTGATCTGCCTGCCTTGCTTCCCAAAGTGCTGGGATTACAGGGGTGAGCCACCGTGCCTGGCCAAGGGTGTTTAATAAAGAAGAAATACAATGATAAGTCGGGGTTATTATCTTATAGTCATCTGCAAGGCTTGGGAATTGGTATCTGGTTGCTTTAGGTTATGGAGCATATATATGCTAAATCCTGGAGTTTTTATAACCACAAGATTATAAATTAGTGTATGCAGTTAAGTGAATTAAAGTGTTAGACTGGCTTGGTATGGTAATCTTCAACAAAGTAGAAGTATAAGAGCATTTAGTTATGGATAAAGTTATTGTGATAAGTCTTATTTAAGGCAGTAATGTGGATTGGCCAAAAAAAATTAGCCTATTTTTTATATGGATAGATAATACAGCTATAATAAAGATAGTTGTGTTTTAGGCGTGGGAGGGTCGTCAAACATGGTGAACATGCTGGAATAGCATCCTTGAGTTTGGATGGATTGGGCCATGAAAAGCAAATGCTGGAATTTATGGTTCCTGTGGCATGCAGACTGTCAGGCAAGCTGTAATTGTCTTTTGAGTCATTAAAAAGTTTTCCGGGGAAGTTAGATTTTTTTGCTTTTGTTTTCGTGTTTTGAGTTGCATTTTGTCTGTCTTTAAGACCCTTACCAATCTGGATAGACTGTAGTATAGGAGAGGGAGTAATTAGATTTTAATTTTAAAAGCTAGCTAATATTAGTAATAAATGCCCAATGCATTTATTACTAATATTATTGAGTGCCTATGTTAGTAAGTTATTAAATGTTTAGTGTAGTTTTTCTCATTTTGCAGGTACAAAAGCCAATGAGGCTTCTAACAATGTTTTGGTATTAGGGAAAGCTTAAAGACTTTTCTGGTTACAGAGCTGTTAATAGTTGAATCAAGACTAAAAATCTAGCAGGGCATGGTGGTGCACACCTGTAATCCCAGCTACTCATGGCTGAAGTGCTAGAACTTGAACCCTGAGGACAGAGGTTGCAGTGAGCCAAGATTGCCACTGCACTCCAGCCTGGGCAACTGAGTGAGACTCTCCAAAAAAAAAAAAAATGAGTACTGTTTTTTCTTGCTTGCTTGCTTAGATCTCCAAAGGAGGGGTTTAATAATGTAAATATTGCATATATTTCTATTTTTAAACACTATATTTAAGTTTCAATTTTTTTAGCAATAGAAAATGATAAAAATGTTTTCTCCAATATAATACAAATGGGAAATATTATAGACAGTCATACTAACCCAGTGAATAAGGTTCACAAGAAGCAAAATCTATTGTGGGGGTGGATTCTATGTTGTTACATATATACAGGGCACCAGCACCAGAACCAAATTTAGAGGAATACCTTTTATTTCTAATTAAAAGAAAGCAATAGAGGACACTACTCTGGCCTGCAGGTCTAATTGTACATAGGTATGTTTCACACTATGCAAGTGGTCAAGAAGAATACAAATTTGGAGTTTAGGGCCTGATTGTGCTAGCTTAAGCCTGTAGGCACTTGACAGCTTATTCGTACCTCTCATCTTTAGTCATGGTTTTCTTTCTCCATCCTTTTCCTCCCTAACTACCCTGTGCCATTTAGACTTGGAAGTTTTCTTTTTGGATTATCTTTACTACTATATAACTTTTTTTTAGAATATTCCTTATTTCTATAACTGGATGGGGGAGTTAGAGCTAGAAAAGGGTCAGTTTCAGTGTTAATTTCCCAGCAAGCACCAGAGAGAAAAACTGCACAGAAAAGAATAGTGATAGCTGGCAGTGATACCTGTACCCAGAAAGCTGCACTGCAACTGTCTAATATTTGAGGCTCTCCTTTCCTATAACTCTTCCAATTTAAACTAGAAAATTCTGACTGGTTGCAAATTCAAAGCAGATCCATACATTTAAATCACAGGTTCAACAAATCACTCTTAATGTTACAGTGCTTTTATTGTAATTGATGTTTTCAATAAATATCTTGAGCTTGAGGCCCTGGCTATACCTTTTGGAGTACTGTTTTTTCTGTCATGACATTAATCAGTGAACTATATTGGTTTCACTTATCTATCTTTGTACCCACAAAACACCTTCCTGTTTTTGCAGGAGTGACATTACCATGTGTGTAATCCCGGCCTTGTACTTTCTCTGTTCAGAGACAGGGTCTTGCTCTGTTGCCCAGGATGGAGTGCTGTGGCATGATTAAAGCTCACTGCACCCTCAATTTCTGGACTTGAGTGGGAGCCCAGCTAATTAATTTTTTTTTGTAGATACAGGGTCTCGCCACATTGCCCAGGCAGGTCTCAAATCTTGGTTTCAAGAAGTTCTCCTACCTTGGCATACCAAGTATTGGGATTACAGGCATGAGCCACCACACCAGCCTGACTAGTGTGCTATTTTTAAGAAAATTGTCGTTTTGGTAAAATTTTCTAATATTCCTTTTATGACCCTGAAGTAAACTATTTTTACTTTTTATTGCAGAATATGGTGATGCTGATATGTGAATACCTGTTTGTAACTACATTAGAAGGCATAACAGTCAATGCCACCACAAAATGGATTGATAAATGATGTATTATTCAGATACCATGAGCAGCATTATCAGTAATGAAAAATTCTCCATGGAAGCTGCATTTTTAGTGAATTTAATGCATGTTAAAGCAGTACAGAAATATATACACGACTCATAACAATAAACAAATTTACATTCTATACCAAATCTTTAGTTTTTCAGCAACTGATACTGCCACTTCCATTAATGAAAATAGTGCTCCCTATCTTTGGAAAATTGTATTTTTTATTTATTTATTTATTTATTTTTTTTTTTGAGATAGTGTCTCATTCTGTCGCCCAGGGTGGAGTGCAGTGGCTTGCTGCAACCTCTGCCTCCCAGATTCACACAATTCCCCTGCCTTACCCTCCAGAGTAGCTGGGACTACAGGCACATGCTGCCATGCCTGGCTAATTTTTTAAACTTTTAATTGAGACGGAGTTTCATGATGTTGGCCAGACTGGTCTCTCGAACTCTTGGCTTCAGTGATCCTCCCGCCTTGGCCTCCCAAAGTGCTGGGATTACAGGCATGAGCTACCGCACCCGGCCTGGAAAAACTTTAAATGCTCTGCAGGGGTATTTATTGCCCCCATTGAAAATCACTGTTCTAGACTTTGCCTTTATTTTTCATACTCTACCAGTTTTTTATTGTATTTCCCCTTAGAGCCTTAGAGTTTGAAATTCAGTCATGCTGGAGAGCAGAACTAATAAATGATGGCTGTAATCTGTTTTTGTGGTGCCTGCGTAACTATGGACAGATAGACATTGTGTACAGCCATCATTTCCCTAGGCATACCTAATCATAAAGCTTGAAAGGTTGGTTTTCAGTCACTTGCCTCAAGTAACTTTTACAGTCTTCTGGTTCCGTTTTTTTAATTATCCCTTTCCCATAAGTTAGAAATGTTCATATAATCCAAGTTATTGTTATACCTGAGCAAGTTTAAACAAGCACCAGGCTCTGAGTTTGTTGAGAGTCCACTTTTAATGCCGGCCCCGTTTCTAAGAAAATTGATTACAAAGATACCAGGTGTCTCAGACCTGAATGCCCTCTTATTACAGAATGCCCTGCATAGCTCAGGGTGGGCAAAATGGAGTTAGCAGGATTGTTTAAAATGTATTCATTACAGTCAAGCTAGGGTATTTCATTATAATTTACAGATCAGAATTATAATTAATTTTTTTTAAGATGGGGTTTCGGCCAGGCGTGGTGGCTCGCGCCTATAGTCCCAGCACTTTGGGAGGCCGAGGTGGGTGGATCACGAGGTCAAGAGATTGAGACCATCCTGGTCAACATGGTGAAACCCCATCTCTACTAAAAATACAAAAATTAGCTGGGCATGGTGGGGCATTCCTGTAGTCCCAGCTACTCGGGAGGCTGAGGCAGGAGAATTGCTTGAACCCAGAAGACGGAGGTTGCGGTGAGCCGAGATCATGCCCTTGTACTCCAGTCTGGGTAACAGCAGCGAAACTCCATCTCAAAAAAAAAAAGATGGGTTTCACCATGTTGGTCAGGCTGGTCTTGAACTTCCGACCTCAGGTGATCCACCCACCTTGGCCTCCAAAGTGCTTGGATTACAGGCATGAGCCAACATGCCTGGCCGAATTATAATTAATTTTATGTGGCTCCTTTGCATATATTGCTCCTTAGTTCAGCAAGAAGCTAATAGTAAGCCAGTTTGTCCAGTTCATGATATCTTTGTTCCCTTTCTCATTAAACACTAGAGCTACTATTGAGCTTTTTCTCACTCTGACCTGATGGAATAAAGAGGGCGAGGCAGGATGCTACAGGCCTGGAAATCCGTTTTCTTCTCCAGTAGTGGTTCTTGCTCCTGGTATTATCACCTTAATCCCAGTCTCCAGGCTACAAAGTCAGATTATTCTCCACTTTTGACATCCAGTTATCCACACAGTCTTTCTCATTTTTCCTCAAAAAGAGATCGCAAATAAATATCTTCTCATACATGACCCCTTGGTCTGAACCTTCATCAGTCCTGGTCTGGGCTTGTGGAGTAGCTTTTTTATAACTAACTGGTTGGGCTTTTCCTATATTCAGATATACCTTATCACCCAAAGTCCGCAGTTTATATTAGGCTTCATTCTTTGTGTTATACATTCTTTGGGGGGAAGGGGCATTCTGCCCATTTTTATGATCTCAAGGAAAGTTGGTAGTTGAAAATGAAGAGGAAATGATTGAGGATAAAGTGAGAACGTAATTACTACCTATCTTCTGTTGATAACCATGCTATAGAGGTAAGAGGAGGGTGTGCTAGAACAGTTAATGTTTAATAGGATAAGGAGGGGCAGAATATGTTGCTAATCACTGCTACCCTCTTAATTATGGCTCAGGAGGTCACACTATCTTACAGGTAGTGCCGCTACAATTATTTGCAGCAGCTTAAGTCTTTAAAGCAGAGAGCATGGTGGCTTGTGTCTTTTGATTTGCCAAATTTCCTGGTAGCTAGTTGGCAGCCAGAAAGTCTCTGAGAAAATTAATCTTTGGCAACATGAGATGTATTTCATTTTCTGACTTGTCAACTTGGTTCTGTCTTGCAGGAATGACACCAAGGAAGATGTATTTGTACACCAGGTGAGTGCTAGTGTAGGTATTTGCACTTCTGATTCAAGGATTGTGAGAAGAAAAGGTTAGATGTTCTCAAATTTGGTTCCTTGTGAAAGGTTAAGTCCAACTACCAGTTTTATTTAGTTACTGCAGGAGTAGTAGCATGCTTCAAATGTATACATTGAAACATTGTGTTAGAGTCGACTTAATTCTCCTAGACATTTCAAATTGGAATTTTGTTAACAGCTGTGGCTTTCTCAAATGTTGAGTCAAACTCATTACACTAAATATTTATACCTAATTTCAGATGAACAAATTACTCCATGATTCTAAAGCTGAACAAATAATGTTACTATAAATACACAGAAACTTTGGCAAGAAGCTTTCAGAGCTTTTAGGTCTATCTGTAGGGAAAAATCTCCATAATCATGGGTAAATAAGGTAGACCTGCAAAATATAGTAATTGCAGTAAATACTCGAAAAGTAGCATCAAGAGCCTTCTACTTATTCTAAATTACTTAAAAAAAATTTTTTTTTTTAAACTTTTGGCCAGGGGTGGTGGCTCATGCCTGTAATCCTAGCGCTTTGGGAGCCTGAGATGGGTGGATCACCTGAGATCAGGAGTTCAAGACCAGCCTGGCCATCATGGTGAAACCCCATCTTTTTAAAAAAAAAAAAAACGAAACACCTTTGGAGAGTTTTGGCTGGCTTCAAAAATGAAAAAATCGTTGCTAGTTTAAGGTAAAATGAGAGGCAGTGTGACAAGTTTGGCAGCTGCTCGTTAAATAATTTTTAGAGGCCGGGTGTGGTGGCTCATGCCTGTAATCCCAGCACTTTGGGAGGCCGAGGCGGGTGGATCACGAGGTCAAGAGATCGAAACCATCCTGGTCAACCTGGTGAAACCCTGTTGTATCTCTACTAAAAATACAAAACATTAGCTGGGCATGGTGGCGCGTGTCTGTAATCCCAGCTACTCAGGAGGCTGAGGCAGGAGAATTGCCTGAACCCAGGAGGCGGAGGTTGCAGTGAGCCGAGATTGCGCCATTGCACTCCAGCCTGGGTAACGAGTGAAACTCTGTCTCAAATAATAATAATAATAATAATTTTTAGATTGGCTTCCAGTGTTTTGGGAAGAGAACACTGTTAACATAGGATGTGTACTTTTCTCCTCAAATATCATTTAAGGAAAACAGACATTCAGGAATTAAGATTACTGCTAAAGTAAATCACTGCCAAGTGTATGTTAGTACCTCAAATTTAGGTATGTTACAGACTGCACTGAATGTACTTACCCTCCCAGATATGAAATGGGTAGGAAAAATAGTGTTATCAGTTTTCTTACTAAGACTGTTAATATTGTCAACTTGTGTTAAAACTAATTTGAGACCATAACTACTTTTTTGTACTATAATCCGGAAATCAAAAGACCTAATGCCAATTTCCATACTCACATTTAATTAGAAACTACCTTACCTGGCATGTTTCATAGGAAGGACTGTCATGGATTGGTGCCTTGTAGCTCACTGAAATATCTTACACAGCATTCAGTGACTATCAAGGAGGAAGCTATATCCATTTCTAGTACATCTAAAACCCAATTGGTTAGAGTCAAATGTAATTATGGAAACATTTAATTTCTAAATGCAAATAAATAAAAGACTACTTCAGACAAAATGTTATTTTAGAGCAAATGTTTTATAAAATTGGCATTCTTGTTTGGGTGAACACTACTTACCTATTCCTTATTCCTCTGCATGTTCAAAAGAATCTGTAGACTTAGGAAAAAGAGACAGCAAAGTTTATTAGTCTTGTTGCCTGTTGGCAACCCCTAAGGCTGGGGTTGGGGCAGGGGTGGAGATGTTGATGAAAATAAAGATTTGGGATTTTAATTAACCATACTTCTGCTATCCCCTATGACTGCAGGTAATTGATAGTTGGCTATATATGAAAGGTATGAAAATTATGTGACAGTTTAGATGACAGATGAGATCGATTAGATCAATTATTTGACTCAACTCACCCAGTTGTATCATTTCATAAGGTGTCACCAATATGCTTTCATTTTTGGGGGGAAGTGGTTTCTTCATATAGTTGTTTCTTGGGACTTTGGCTGCTCAAGTCTTAGTGGTGTATCAAGGAGACTGCAGTTCTGGGCAGCTTTGCTTAATTGGCCTCAGATTTGTTGGTTGTCCTGCTTCCTCTGCAGTGGGAATGCATGAGTGATCCTGTAATGGATATAGCTGAGATTTGTAATGAACATGGATTTGGAGTCCCAATACCTGGGTTTAGAAATTCCCCTTACTTACTACCTGTGTGACCTTGGGCAAGTCACTTAACTTTAAAGCCTGTTACATTATCTGTAAAATGGGATTAACAATGCTTTACATATCCTCTGTCAGGTAATACAGTGAAAGATGTTGCAAAAAAAATTTTCATAGAAACATGAAAAGTTACTCTTCCTCCCTTCCCCTAACAGTCTGGAGAAGCAGAATCAACAAGTCTCTAATAGAAGATGTATTGAATTCTGGGGAGGTGATAACTAACAGTTCCATGCAGTCAGATAATATAAAGAATGACATGGTTAATACATGCTAATTGCATATCCACTGAAGTATTATCAGACAGATTGGAAGGATTTTGGTTGACATTATTTGTAATTGAGTTTGGTATGGTAACCCAGGGACAAAGTTGGTTTGGTCAGCTTTGAAGCATGCAAAACCAAACTCGCCTGTCATCTAAACTGACCCAGTGTGGGGCCACCTTCTATTATTAAGTGCAGTCTTTAGGGGATAGGTGGATATCATCATTTTTTAAAGTTACATATAATGCTTTTGCAAAAAGCAGTTTTTAAAATGTGTCTGTTTTGAGTGTTAAATTACTTGTTTTAGTTTTGTGAATAGTGCTAAAATGCTGGGGCCTTGTATGATTGGAGTATTTTGGTTGAAGTTGGGGATAGTGTGGTCCCCGCTTTCCTAACTTTATTGATGGTTTGGTCTTATTTAAAGCAAATCTTAAGTGTATATCCAAACTAAAATAATATTGACTCTGGTACATTTTAAATGAAAAAGCACATTATTCTCCCCTGTTAATCTATTTTTGGAATGTGATATTACTAGACTGCCATAAAGAAGAATAACCCCAGGAAGTACCTTCGCAGTGTAGGAGATGGAGAGACTGTGGAGTTTGATGTTGTTGAAGGAGAAAAGGTGAGGATGCTTTTTGTGTAAAGGTTTGACTTCAGTATGGAAATGTGTTGGAGGTCTCATCCATTAGGATGGTGGCTCTAATGTGGATGGATATGTTCAGGTGACCTCTTGAACATAGGTGCATCAAGCCTAATGTTCTGGCTGCAGTTAGAGAGCAATCTCTTCAGAACAGTGAGGAACTGATATTTAGTCATTGCTCTGCACCCCTGGCCACGCAAATGCCCTCCCCTCTTTTTTTCCTTAACTTCATTTTGTTTTTTGCTTTGTTTGAAATTTGTTGAAAGTGTTCTGATTTCCTTTGTCACTATCAATATGTAATGGCTTTTGTAGGGTGCGGAGGCAGCAAATGTTACAGGTCCTGGTGGCGTTCCAGTTCAAGGCAGTAAATATGCAGCAGACCGTAACCATTATAGACGCTATCCACGTCGTAGGGGTCCTCCACGCAATTACCAGCAAAATTACCAGAATAGTGAGAGTGGGGAAAAGAACGAGGGATCAGAGAGTGCTCCCGAAGGCCAGGCCCAACAACGCCGGCCCTACCGCAGGCGAAGGTTCCCACCTTACTACATGCGGAGACCCTATGGGCGTCGACCACAATATTCCAACCCTCCTGTGCAGGGAGAAGTGATGGAGGTAAGTTTCGTCATCAGCAACAGCAATGTGATAAATTCTGGTAGGACCGTTTAGAGCTGTTAATCCTATGGAAAGCAACTTTGATTCCTAGTAAGACCAAAAAGGATTGATTGGTAGTGGAGTCACAATTACTAGATGGTCTGTTTAGTTTTTGTTTTTCGTTTTTTTAAACTCAGATTTGGATTTATCTCATTGCATTTTTTATTATGTCACTGATACAGTAGGCTTGATTTCCATTATCTTTTTCAGGGTGCTGACAACCAGGGTGCAGGAGAACAAGGTAGACCAGTGAGGCAGAATATGTATCGGGGATATAGACCACGATTCCGCAGGTATGGTCCACATAAACATGTTTCTATTAAAATTTCCTCAAACCTTTGTTAGGACTCAGCACATCATGCCTCTCCTGCAGACTTCTTGACTCATTTTTCTGTTGACACTATACGTTTTCTTTCATCAGATGCCTAAGAGGTGAACCTGAAGTCAGTTATCTTTGAGAATATATTCTTTGAATCTTCTTTGCTGGCACTTGTTAAAAACAGCTTGTATGGATAAGGTCTGCTTATCATATAATTTTTTTTAATGATGAGGGTATGGAATTTCAAATTTTCTGTCCCTGAACAGATTAAGGGAATATTTTAAACCACATCTTTTAAACCTGCCTCCTTGGTAGGGAGAAAGGAAAGCATTAGGAGTACCTGAATTGTACTATGGCATTAGTGAAGAATCAACAGTAAGTGTTACCACTTGAAAAGGCACACATAATCTTCCACTAACCACTTCTCAGTTTAAGTATGTACCCCCTTTTTTTGAGACGGAGTTTCGTTCTTGTTACCCAGGCTGGAGTTGCAATGGTGCGATCTCGGCTCACTGCAACCTCCGCCTCCTGGGTTCAGGCAATTCTCCTGCCTCAGCCTCCTGAGTAGCTGGGATTACAGGCACGCGCCACCATGCCCAGCTAATTTTTTGTATTTTTAGTAGAGATGGGGTTTCACCATGTTGACCAGGATGGTTTTGATCTCTTGACCTCGTGATCCACCTGCCTCGGCCTCCCAAAGTGCTGGGATTAGTATGTACCCCTTTTTTTGAGTTGGGGGTAGACAACTAGTCTATCGGCTTGGGCAGGTATTAGAAATCCTATTAATAGATGTAATTATTAGAGTAATCGAGCAAAAGTTCCATGAGCCAAGCATATTTTAGTATATGCTGTGTAGACTTTGAGGCAGTGTTCCCAGTCCCATGGTGGTAAGATAGAATGGTGTAATAGTTATTTCTCTAAGGGTTTCATATTGAACCATGGAGTTAAAGGTCATCCCTAAAAGTTGATAGGTACTTTTGAAGAAATCAAACCGGTATAATAATGCATCTTAACGGATCGATAAATAGCAACTTTTAAATCCCCAAATAATTTTAAGTGTCAAACTTATTATTCTCTAAGTATCCAACATGTCCAAAATACACTGTGAGCCTATAAGAAGGGGTTTCTGTGTGTAGGTTTTGGAGCACTTAGTGGAGTTTTAGGAACTAGGGAATCTAGTTGATGTTGTAATACATGTATTTATCAGCATATGTATATTGAGAGTTTTGCAAGAGTAGCTGGTGTCATCATTCTTCTTCTTTGTGTTAATATATGTCCTGTCCTGAGTTTCCAGTTAAAAGAGCTGGGGTACTAACTGATGACTACTACAATTGAAGATCTCTAATTCAGTTTTCTACCAGGAGATTGTGTTAGCCAGATGCTAGATATTGAAGACAGATGGGTTTTTATTTTTATTTATTTATTTTTTGGTAGCGGGGGAGAACAGTCTCGCTCTGTCGCCAGGCACCAGGGTGGGGTGCAGTGGCACAGTCTTGGCTCACTGCAACCTCTGCCTCCTGGGTTCAAGCAATTCTGCCTCAGCCTCCCAAGTAGCTGGGACTACAGGCGCGCACCACCATACCCAGCTAATTCTTGTGTTTTTAGTAGAGACAGGCTTTCACCATGTTGGCCAGGATGGTCTCGATCTCTTGACCTCGTGATCCACCCGCCTCGGCCTCCCAAAGTGCAGGGATTACAGGCGTGAGCCACCGCGCCTGGCTAGGTTTTTTATTTTTTATAGTAGGTGTGACATAGGCTCTCATGGCAGTACATCCGTTAAGTAAATAGGTTCCAGCAGCAGAATCTTTGGTTTGCCTTTTTTTGTTTGTTTGGTTTGAGACTGAGTTCCGCTTTTGTTGCCCAGGCTGGAGTGCAGTGGCATGATCTCGGCTCACTACAACTTCTCCCTCCCGGGTTCAAGCAATTCTCCTGCCTCAGCCTCCCAAGTAGCTGGGATTACAGGCATGTGCCACCATGCCTGGCTAATTTTTGTATTTGTAGTAGAGATGGGGTTTTGCCATCTTGACCAGGCTGATTTGGAACTCCTGACCCTCATGATCCACCCACCTCAGCCTTCGAAAGTACGGGGATTACAGGCTTGAGCCACCATGCCCAGGTGGTTTACCTTTTTGTTTAACTGAAGAGCTGCTTAATTAAATGTTCTGCCTAGTTTCATTGATGTCCTTAAAAATAGCATGATTTTGTGTTCGTATTCAGTACTTCAGTTTCACTGTTGAGTAAATTGTCTTTATATGGACAAACAAGTCTGAGGTTGATTGTCTCCTATCCTAAAAAGGTATCTTTGCCCATTGTTACCCCTTCAATACATTTTGCCTTTTGGTTTAAGTTAGACTTAATGTCTATGTGTTTCAGTGTTTAGAATGCTCAATCCTCTAAATAGTTCCTGAAGTAACACATAATTGCTTTGAAGTTAGCAGAGAATGCTAGACTTTCCAGACCTGTGCAGGAATCCTTTGTTGAAATGAGAGGAAATGAAACATGCTGCCCTTAATGCATGGAATCATGTAGTGAAATTCTGGCTGGTGTGAGTTCAATAGCAAAATTGATAGAGAACTCTTAAGACATTACAGTACAAGTTTCACTGAAACGGAGACAAATAGTAGGGGAAAATGGGAAGTCAAAAAGGGATTTTTTTGTTATTGAGAAATAACATTTACGGGCTGAAATGTAATCGAGGATAACAGGTGATGGCAGGCAAGTGACTACTTAAACTATTTTCTTCTTCAGAGAGGATGGGATTTTGCCCACATGTGAAAATGTTCTTTTGTTAGGAACCTGATACTTTCATGTGTAAGAGATGAGAATACATGGGCACACACATATTAATGGAAAGGCATGGAAGGCTTTGGTTGCTTTGTTGAGTCAAAAGAAGAAGAAGAAGTTTGAAAAGTTTGGGACAAAGATGTGAACCCTGTAGAAGAGAAAATAGAGATGGTAGATTTATAAATAATAGGATAATAAAAATTAGAAGTGAGTTGATCCAGCTTGGCTGTTTTTCTAGCCATTTGAGCATCAGGCTCAGGTTGGACAGAGTTGTCTGGCATTGGTTTATCCAAATGAAGACACTGGGGTAGGGATTAGTCATATGATTAATATTGCACTTTATACTTGGATAAAGAGGGGAGAAAAGGGAAAGTGAGGAATTAAAAAAAATTTTTTTTTTTTGTAGAGATGGAGTTGTACTGTGTTATTCAAGCAGTCTTGAACTCCTGGCATCAAGTGATCCCCCCAAAGTGCTAGGATTACAGGTGTGAGCCATTGTGCCCGACCTGGGAGTGAGATGAATAGGTGATGGGATCACTGTATTACAGGTCCTAGATTAAGAATGAGAAAACAACAAGGAATTAACTAGGAAGAATAGGAAGGTACCTAATTGGAAAGTTGTGTGGTATAATTGAGAAAACCCAGGTAGAAAACAACTGGACTGGGAGGTCAGTCTTAAAGCCCAGATTATTAGGGATTGTTACCCTTGGACCTTAATAACTGCAGTAAGAAAAAGATGGTAAATGGAACAGAATCCAAAATAAAATGAGAAGTCTACAGTTTTTAGAAACTGGGAGAATCAATTTAGAAGCCACAATAAGAGGTTAGAACAGAAGTCACCTCTTGAGGGTTGCAAAGGAAAGTCAGAGCAATTTTGTTAAAAATTCATTATGAGTTCCAAAAGATATGGGGAAAGGGTTTTACAGTGTACAAAGGTACATGTGAATTACAGCTCATGATGACTGATAGATACAAAAGACCTGGGGCTTTCTTGAGTGCTGAGAGTATGGGTGGAGGAAAGGCCAGGAATCCATCTTCTTTCAGACATTTCTGAGCACTGGGGGAAAGAAAATCCCAAAATTTAGTGTCTTTTTCTTGGTGATTAAAAGACTCAAGCCTGTAATCCCAGCACTTTGGGAGGCCAAGGAGGGAGGATAGCTTGAGCTCAGGAATTCAAGATCTGAGCAACATAAACATAGCAAGACCTTATCTGTACTAAAAATCAGCCATTAATGAGGTGTGGGGGGCTTGTCTATACTCCCTGCTACTCAAGTGGGAAGATCACTTGAGCCTGGGCAACAAAGCAAGACTCAAAAAAAAAAAAAAAAATACTTTAGGTCTGGTGCTGTGGTTCATGCCTGTTCAAGACCAACCTGGGCAATGTAGCAAGACCCTATCTCTACCCCACCTGCCCCCGACACACACACACACAAAAAGCTGGGCATGGTGGCCTGAGTCTCTACATCCCAACTATACAGAAGGCTGAGGTTGGAATATTTGAATCCAAGAGCCTGATTATGCCATTGGACTCCAACCTGAGTGACAAAGTGAGTTACCATAGGACCACTTTAAAAACAAATGAAAAGGCTTCAATTTCAGGACACTGAGGATAATGAATTCATTGTTGGAATGTACTACCTCAGCTTTATTTTGTAAAAAAGTGTACAACTCAGAGGTTTTTAGTATATTCACAAAATTGAACAACTGCAAGCACTAATCCCAGAATATTTTCATCACTCCAAGAAAATGTGTATCCATTACAGTCACTCCTCATTTCACTTTGCCCCAGCCCCTGGTCACTATTTATCTTTTTAAACTTACTTATTCCAGACATTTCATATAAATGTAATGAATCATACATTATGTAGCTTTTTGTGTCTGGCTTTCATTTTTAGCACATTATATATTCGTGGCTTTTCCTGTTGTAGCATAGACCAGTGGTTGGTTCCTTTTTATGGCCAAATCACACTCCCTTGTATGGTGTGCCATGTTTTGTTTATGCCTCAGCTCCGTGGATATTTGTACTTAAACTTTTTGGCTATTGTGAATATTCATGTAATGTCTCTACAGTTATGTGGATAAGCTCTTGGGTTTATAGACCTAGGAATGGAATTGTTGGGTCCTATGCTAGCTCTGTTTAACCTTTTGAGAAGCTGCCAAACTGTTTTCCATAGCTCGCCGCACCATTTTACATTCCCACTAGCAATGTGTGAGGGTTCCAGTTTTCCCACATCCTCACCAATACTATTTTCTGTCTTACATATATAACCATTTTAGTGGGAGTGAAATAGTATTTCATTGTGATTTTAGCTTGCATTTCTGTAATGACAAATGGTTGCTGTATACTGTTACTTTTATGAAGGGAACATGTTTGGTTTTGAACAGGCTGGATTTTAAACACATGCCTTTTTAGGAATTGTTCATCTGTAAAGGTTATACTGTTTACAAATTTGTTTACCACTTAGCCCATTTTGATCTTTTAGAATGACAGCAGAATGTTGATGGCATTTGCCTACTATTAGCTATTTCAGGATTCATTCTGTAATGCTATGAACAAAAAAGTTTGCTAGTCCATTAAAACCAGTTTTTAAAAGTCATCTTCCAGTTTATACTCCCATCTCCTTACACAAATTGCCTACAGGCCACTTGATACAGAGAACAGGCTAGGCATGATGAATTAGTTGAGTGAACCAAATGGTAACACTGCTGGTGGGTGTGTTGAAGAGAAGAGGTTTTATCATTCTTAAGTTTGACAACATTTATTGCAGGGGCCCTCCTCGCCAAAGACAGCCTAGAGAGGACGGCAATGAAGAGGATAAAGAAAATCAAGGAGATGAGACCCAAGGTCAGCAGCCACCTCAACGTCGGTACCGCCGCAACTTCAATTACCGACGCAGACGCCCAGAAAACCCTAAACCACAAGATGGCAAAGAGACAAAAGCAGCCGATCCACCAGCTGAGAATTCGTCCGCTCCCGAGGCTGAGCAGGGCGGGGCTGAGTAAATGCCGGCTTACCATCTCTACCATCATCCGGGTAAGCAACCCTGGATGGCCACCATTTATGGCAGTCATGAATGGTGTCCATTTCATTTTATTAATGCAAGAGTGGGGAAAACTCAATTCTATCAGATAACGAAAGCCATGTTATTTACATTGTGTTCTGCCCTATTCTTAATTACCTAAATATTTCATTTTAGGAGTATTGAGTATCAGAATCATATTTGGCCACCCCTCAGCTAGTTCTCAATTCTGACACTGGAGACCTGTATTTTCATGAGTTTTTTGAACTATTGGAGCTTTCTATCAACTTTTCTGAACTTTGTGATTTGACCAGTAAGCTGAGAAAAGTTTCCCTAGCTGTATTCTGAGAAAAGTTAATTAACATTGTTATTTATGCATTATTTAATAAAAGAAGTAGTATAGCTATTAGAATGAACCTATACAGTGACAGAGTCTGTTTGGGTAAAGTGGCAACATGGATAAAATCTTTTTTTTTTTTTTTTTTGAGACTGGAGTTTCACTCTTGTCCAGGCAGGAATGCAATGGTGTGATCTCAGCTCACTGCAACCTCCGCCTCCTGGGTTCAAGTGATTCTCCTGCCTCAGTTGTCTTGAGTAGCTGGGGTGACAGGCATAAGCCACCACGCCCAGCTAATTTTTTGTATTTTTTGTATTTTTTTTTTTTTTTTTTTTTGAGTCGGAGTTTCGCTGTTGTCACCCAGACTGGAGTGCAATGGCACAATCTCGGCTCACCGCAACCTCCGCCTTCTGGGTTCAAGCAATTCTCCTGCCTCAGACTCCCAAGTAGCTGGGACTACAGGCATGCGCCACCATGCCCAGCTAATGTTTTGTATTTTTAGTAGAGACGGGGTTTCACCTTGTTGACCAGGATGGTCTCGATCTCTTGACCTCGTGATCCACCTCGGCCTCTCAAAGTGCGGCGTGAGCCACCGCACCCGGCCCATTTTTTGTATTTTTACTAGAGATGGGGTTTCTCCATGTTGGTCAGGCTGGTCTTGAACTCCTGACCTCAGGTAATCCACCCATCTCGGCCTCCCAGTGCTGGGACTACAGGCATGAGCCACTGTAATCATCTGTAGTTGTTTTTTGTTGGTTTATTCAAACTGTAGGTTAATAATAATAATGCTCTGGCAGACCACATGATACATTTACGTTCTTGTTACCAGCTCACTTGTTTTTGTTAACCTTAAATTTCAAAATTAAGGGATTCATTTTCATTCAGCTTTTTGCATGATACTGAGAGGTGTATGATTGTCGTTCCCTCCGAAATTAGCATTCAACCAGAGATGATTTGCTAGGTGGCAAAAGATCTGTTAATGTCTCCCAATATATAAGTAATGTAAACTAGAGTATGTACTACATTAAATGAAGATTACCATGAATTCTACATGATCATCTTTGTTTTTTTTCTTTACAGTTTAGTCATCCAACAAGAAGAAATAAGAAATTCCAGCAATAAGAAATGAACAAAAGATTGGAGCTGAAGACCTTAAGTGCTTGCTTTTGCCTGTTGACCAGATAAATAGAACTATCTGCATTATCTATGCAGCATGGGGTTTTTATTATTTTTACCTAAAGATGTCTCTTTTTGGTAATAACAAACGTGTTTTTTAAAAAAGCCTGGTTTTTCTCAATACGCCTTTAAAGGTTTTTAAATTGTTTCATATCTGGTCAAGTTGAGATTTTTAAGAACTTCATTTTTAATTTGTAATAAAAGTTTACAACTTGATTTTTTCAAAAAAGTCAACAAACTGCAAGCACCTGTTAATAAAGGTCTTAAATAATTGTCTTTGTGTAAATTTCTGTCTAGTTTTGCTTTAGTTTATAAGTTCTTAGGTATTTATAAGACCCTTAGCCCAGTCTACAAATAGATGATGCTCACTGGTAATTCCCTCAGGTAAAATGTCTTTAAAATCTCTAATCCTTTTAAGTGGCATGCCTGTGGGTTCATACTGAAAATTAGAAAATACATATTCTGATAACCTGGCCATTTTTAAGGAAGACTTTGTGGTGTAGATTTTGTGTGGGTTCCTTTGGCTGTGTGGCAGTGCTTACAAGGGATGCTCTAGTCTAGACTGGCCAGATTCTGATCCTTCTCCACTTAGTTTTGTCACCTAGGGAGAATTTATTTCAATATGCCAATTGAAGATGCCAACTTAAAGTGTTCAGAGAACCTGTTACAGGGCCTGATGTGGTCACCAAATACTGGTTCAGCTCCTTATGTCCTAGAAATGGGAATAAATAATACAAAAACCCATGGGAAAGCTGCTTAAGAACATGGAGGTTGGTCAACTTGTAGTTAGGTGGTTCTCCACACCTGACAGCCTAAGTCTAGACTGGCTGTTTTCTAATGTTTTGTTAGATGTCTTTGGCTTGCTTTGTGGAATTATCAGTCATGTAGTTGAAAGTGACTGCTGTCTAGAAACACACTCTAGATCATCCTGGCCAGGTTTCATGGCCCAGGGGAAACAGCAGGGGTAGGGAGTAGGCCAGAGTGCCGCATCAGGAATCCTGCAGTGCTGTGGAAGTCATCTCTTGTTTGAGACTAACTCTTTGCCAGAGGACTTGATAAGAGACTACCCCAATTTTTTTTTTAACCCTACTTAGTGTAAATATTTGTGCTGTGGAAGTGAGTTTGTTAGCCCATTTCTTGCTGGTGTTTATGAAAATACCGTGTTGGTGAGTGCAGTGGACCAGAGACAAACTGTTGGTAGCATCTAAACTGTTAGTACTGCACATGAAGACAGTCCTGACTCTGGTTCAGTTTAAGGGCTTTTAGTGGGGTCGCGCTTTCTCCTGAATAAACATTGTTTTCATGATATCACAGAGTTGAAAAATCATAAATGAAACCATCGTTAAGTCAACTGCAGTGTTGCCAATATTAAATGCGGTTTCAGCTTATTTTCTGAGTTACAGTTTATGGGAACATTGCCTCATAAATTAAAGAGCATCTATATTAGAATATCAGAAATGGGAAGATGAACAACATTGGTTGAATATCCGGTAATGTTAAAATGAGATTTTCAAAAACACATCAAGGAGGAAAGTTTTTTGGGGGAATACAATCTTTTGTGTTAGTGTTGCAAACAGAACTACGTGCACATTTTTAGATACTGTTGTGTTCTGTGGCCTAGGACTTTGAGTACTATCCAGAAAGCTTCCAGCTAAGATCAAGATTTAGAACCTGTTCTGCCAATCAGATATACCAACATGAGACATGGAGACATTGCTAGGAAGCTGTGCAAACCCATTTTGCTGGAGAGGGTAGATGCTCTGCTTCAGTGATGGAACAGCAGCAGTGGCTTCCTCCTTTTTGCCTCTTAGATTTTCATATTCACTGAGCTTAGTTCCCCAGCCTTAGCAATTGTGAGATAACCTGTTTTATTTTTATTTATTATTATTTGGCTTCCTGAAGAGATGTGCCATTTGGAGCAGAGTGAGCATGGGAGAGCAGGAGTGAGGAGCAAAGCAAGTGTGTTATAGTTCCTGTTGAACGTTGCACTGAAGGACCTAGGGCAATACAGTTTTAAAAAAAACAATTTGGAAAAAATAATTTTCATTATGCATGGGTGATGCTGGCCACACAAAATCCAAAAGATCTTGCAGTCAAATTTGAGTGTTTAATTAGCTGGTTGCATTTCTGTATAGTAATGTCTAGAAAATATATACACATATTCTTCATGGTACTATCAAGGAAATGTAGCGCGGAGTGAATATATGGGTCTTTATGGAAGAGAGTAGAACTATCAAAAGACAAGTGGTTTTTTTTTTTCTCATGTGTTCATGGATATTAAGGCTTGCTAGTTTATCCAGTGATTAAATGTATTTCAGTTTTAGAGTCTTAGGGTTATTTTGGTGTGTCTTGGAAAGCAAACAAAGGGGGCTCAAGGGATGTTAAAGATTGAAAGAGAAAAAGATGTGAAATAGTCTTGAGAAATGGGAAAACAAATACAGTAGGGACATGCAGAATTGCCAGCAGGTAGGGAGCTGATTTAACTAGGGATTTGCTAGGTGAATTCAGCAAAGGTGAGTATATATACAAACCTATGTGGTATAGCCTATTGCTCCTAGGCTGCAAACTTGTACAGCATGTAACTGCTGAATACAGGCAATTGTAACACAGTGGGAGGTATTTGTGTGTCTAAACATAGAACGTAGCTCATGGCTATAATCCCAGCCTCATGGGAGACCATCCTGGACAAAATAGCAAGACCTCATCTTTATAATAGAGTTAAAAATAGCCAGATACACGGTGGCACATGCCCATAGTCCCAACCACCGGAAGGCTAAGGAGGGTTAAGCCCAGGAGTTCAAGGCTGCAGAGCCATGATTGCACTACTGTACTCCATCCAGCCTGGACAACAAAGCAAGACTCTGTCTCTAAAAAAATGAAAAAGAAAAATAATGAGAAAAGGTACAGCAAAAAGGCCATATAAATGATTTTTAAAATTTTTATTTTTATTTTATTTTTTTGAGACAGAGTTTCACCCTTGTTACCCAGGCTGGAGTGCAATGGCGTGATCTCGGCTCACTGCAGCCTCCGCCTCCTGGGTTCAAGCAATTCTCCTGCGTCAGCCTCCTGAATAGCTGGGACTACAGGCGCGCACCACCATGCCCAGCTAATTTTTGTATTTTTAGTAGAGATGGGGTTTCACCTTGTTGATCAGGATGGTCTCTATCTCTTGACCTCGTGATCCACCCACCTTGGCCTCCCAAAGTGCTGGGATTATAGGTGTGAGCCACCGCGCCCAGCCTATAAATGATTTTTTTTAAGGGACACCTGTACTTACCATAAGTTGACCATGCAAGACTTGTGGGTTCAGGGATACATGTAGAGGTTTGTTATTTAGGTAAACTTGTGACCCCATAGTCTTACCAATACACTTGTCCCATTGAAAGGTCTTCAGGTGCATTAATATTGAATGGAACTACCATCTCCTGTGATAATGACAGTGCCTTCTGGAATACCTCCTGAGGGGCCTGCCTGAGGCTAACAGTTAAAAGTTAACTAAAA